CTGCCCCCCCAACGGCTGCCCTCCCCAGATGAGTGTCCGCTCTCAGACGCTGTCCCCTTCCCCTCCCCCAGCTACACAGCGCTTCCCTCCTGGGCCGGGCCGGGCCGGGCCGGACCGCGCCACCACCACGCCGTCGGCCGCAGAGTTCCCTCCCCGGCCCCCCAAGCTCCAGCCTCTCACCCCGCCGTCATCACCACATTGTAGATGACCAGACACGCTGTGGCCAGAGGCCCCGGGCCCTTCTTCTTTCGCGTGGCGCCGCTGGCTTTGCCAGCCCCGGCTCGGCCACCGCCGCCCTCATTCCCTTTGGCCGCTGCAGTCGCCGCCGCTGCCGCCATGTCAGTCCCCGCAGCCCCTTCTGTGCGCGAGCACCCGCGCTGGACGCTATAGGTCGAGGGGGCGGAGAGCGGGCCGAGGGAGAGGCGGGGCCGGGGGGGGCAGGGGCGTCAGGGGGGGGAGGAGGCGGGGCTGAGGCGGGGGGGGGCGGGGCCGGGGCGCGGGGCGGAGCCGGGGCAAGGAAAACACATGGTGGCACCATCTTTGATGAGGGCAGAGACGCCACCGGCGCTTCCCGCTGCTGGATTCGCCTCCGTCGCCGCCATCTTGGATCAGGGTAATCCCGCCCCCGGCGAGCTGCTGGGAACCATTTCCTCTTCTCCAGCTTGGATTCGGCCAATGGCGTTCTTGACCACTGGTGGCCAGCCTGGTGCTCGAACCTAGCTTTTCGCTTTCGTCGCTCCTTGGCCTCCATGTTGGGTCAAAATGACGGTACTTTTGTTCCTCTTTCTTTGGCTTCCGCGAGTGCGCATTTGCGCTAGAAGCAGGCCCTTCTGGCGCCGACAGGCTTCCATCCACCCCACAGGTGAGGAAACCAACCCTTTTCTTGTTTTTTGTGCCGGTCCTGGGGCTTGAACTCGGGGCGTGGGCACGCTGTCCCTGAGCTTTTTTTCCTCAAGACTAAGTGGTCCACCACTTGAGCCCAGAAATCAGCCTTTTTGCAGGGTGCATGTTTTTCTTCAACTGGTGCAGCTCCACAGAGATCTCCAGAAAAGTCCTCCAGACACTTTTTTCGTTGTTGTTGGTCGTGGGGCCTGAACTCTGGGCCTGGGCACTGTCCCTCAGCTCTTCAGCTCAAGGCTAGCGCTCTATCACTTCACTTGAGCCACAGCGCCACTTCCGGTTTTCTGAGTGGTTTATTGGAGATAAGAGACTTTGCTGCCTGGGCTGGTTTTGAACCGCGATCTTCAGATCTCAGCCTCCTCCTGAGTAGCTAGGATTACAAGCATGAGCCACCGGTGCCCGGCTCTCCAGACACTAATAACCAGCCAAAAAAAAGCCAGACTGGGAGCATGGCTCAAATAGTAGAGCACCAGCTATGAGCAAGAAAGTGGAATCTCAAGAGTTCAAGTCCAGGTGCTTTGCGGGGGGGGGGGGGACACTACAAATATGAGAGATTAAATGAAAAAAAAACTTACAATTTTGGAAGATGGAAAGCAAAAGTGGGTAATTGACTCAGAGCAGAGAAGCTGTAACTAACTTCCTGCAGAGGAAGAAGCCACGAGGAAAGCAAGTGGGCTTGTCCTGAAGAATTTGCAAAAGGCTAAAAGCTGGTCAAACTCAGTTGCCTGTGAAACAGAGCCTCAAGGAAACGGAGCCTCAAAGGAACATAGGTGCCAACTCAGCTGCAAAGCAAGATCTCCAAAGCCAAAAGCCAAGGCATATGCTGGCTTTTGCATCATCAACGCCTTCCGCATTGAGAAGGGTTAGTAGAAAAGCCAACAAGGTATCGCTGCCTGTACAGCTTGTAGGTGGCTAGAAAAGCCCATAAAGCAAAACTGACAACAAAGTGGGGGCAAGGACAGTACCCAGGACCTGAGTTCAAGCCCCATGACTGACCAAAAAAAAAAAAAATTATTATAATACCAGACTAGCACACCTTACAGGAAATAGAAGGCCACCTATCAGAAGGCCATCCAATTCTCACTATGTAACCCAAGGCCAAGAAAATGGTGGAGGGGCTGGGAAGGTGGCTCAGTGGTAGAGCGCTTGCCTTGCATGCCTGAGGCCCTGGGTTCAATTCCTCAGCGCCACATAAACAAAAAGGAAAAAGCCAGAAGTGGCGCTGTGGCTCAAGTGGCTAGCCTTGAGCTGAAGAGCTGAGGGACAGAACCCAGGCCCAGAGTTCAGGCCCCACGACCGGACCAAAAAAAAAAAAAAAAGGAAATGGTGAAGATAGTTTGAACTGCTGTCTTCTTCTTACTTGGACTCTCTCTGGCAAGAGAGTTTTTGGATTTAGGTGGTCAGACTGGGCTATCATTTTCCACAGGGTATTGAGGCTGTGGTTAATATGGCACAGTCATTCCGTTAACATCAGAGCTAAGACATCTAAGCCATGGTTCTCAGCCATTAAAGTTTTATATCTCTCTCCTTAACCCTATATCACTTTTAAGCCAGATGTCCTTAAGATATTTTTTTCCTTGTTTGCAAAGTCTTGTTATTAAAGGAGTCATTATATCTTGTTTTGTTCCTGGCACAAGTGTCTAGGATATCCTTACTCAGTTTTTTGAGTGTAATACTCAATTGGGAGAGAGAGTAGCTTTGTGTGTGAGAGAGAGAGACTGATATAGATGGGCATGTGCATGTACCAATCCCTGGGCTTGCACTCAGGCCTGGAGGCTGTCCTTGGGACTTTTGCTCAAGGGTAGTGTTCCACCACAAGAGCCCCAACTCCATTTTTGACTTATTAGTGGTTAATTCTAGTAAGAGTCACAGACTTTTCTGCCCTGGCTGGCTTTGAACTGTGATTCTCAGATCTCCACCATATCTGGGATTACAGGCATGAGCCACCAACACCCAGCTCTTTTTTTTTTTTCTTCAACATATGGTTTAGCTTACAGTGTGAAGCTTAAAATAGAAAAAAAGTTTTTTTAAAATTAATTTTTGAATTAGCACACATTTGTAATATGAACAGTTTCTTCATGATCTTTCCAAGAGACTTTGGTTAACTTGAACAGTTGGATTAAATGGAGATTAGTTGACAGATTTCACTTGAAATGAATGACATTCATTAAGAAGATCTATTATTGGACATGTAAGTATGTTTTGTGCAGGGGTGAGTGATATTGGGGCTTGAATTCAAGGCTTCACACTTGCTAGGCAGGTGTCTTGAGCCATACCATCAATACTTTGGCGCTGGTTATTTTTGAGATAGGTTCTTGATTTTTCCCCTGGTCTGAATGTACCTCAATCTTCCTATTTATTCCTCTGAGATGACAAGTGCACATAACTATAAGATCTGTCCTTTTAAAATGCCTTGAGTGATCAAATGCCTTTCTAGAATCAGGCTTGCTTCTGCTCTTTGACACAGAGTATTGATGTATTAAGATCGTCTGGATTCTATCTCCCAGCTAATCCCTCCCTCTGCCTTGGTCCCTTAATGGAGTTTTGGCTTTGGCCTTGGAGATCTTGCTTTGCAGCTGAGTTGGCACCTATGCTCCCTTGAGGCTCCGTTTTGCAGGCAACTGAGTTTGACCAGCTTTTAGCCTTTTGCAAATTCTTCAGGACAAGCCCACTTGCTTTCTTCTTGGCTTCTTCCTCTGCAGGAAGTTAGTTAAGCTACTCTGCTCTGAGTCAATTACCCACTTTTGCTTTCCATCTTCCAAAATTGTGGGTTTTTTTTTTCATTTAATCTCTCATATTTGTCTTCCTAGCCAAAAGGTTTATAGTGACACCCCACCCCCACAAAGCACTTGACTTGAACTCTTGAGGCCTCATGCCCCCTCTATTTTCTTGCTTATAGCTCATGCTCTACTATTTAAGCCATACTCCCAGTCTGGCTTTTTTGCTGGTTAATTAGAACAAGTCTAGAGGACTTTTTTGTGCCTGAGTTGGCTTTGAACCACAATTCTCCAAGTCTCAGCTTTCTAGTAACTAGCTAGGGTTACAGAATGAGCCATAACTCCTGACTGGTTTATAGCCTTGGTTTGTTTGTTTTTTGTTTGCCAGTCCTGGGGCTTGATCTTAGGGCCTGGACACTCTCCCTGAGCTCTTTTTTTCTCAAGGCTAGCACTCTACCACTTGAGCCACAGTGCCACTTCTGGCTTTTTTCTGTTAATGTGGTACTGAGGAATCGAACCCAGAGCTTCATGCATACTAGGCAAGCAACTCTACCACTAAGCCACATTCTCTGCTCAAGTGTATTTACTAATAAATCTAATGGGAGTTTCAAAAAGTACAGAATTCCTTCTAACCTTAGGAGTTTGTGCTTGTTTCTCTGTCAAGTATGATAACTTCCTATTTCCTAATCCTATCTTCTAGTTTTCTAGAATATAAACCTAAATTTTTATTTAGATTTTTGTTTTTTTTAGAAAACTTGCAAATAGTGTTCACTCAGCCTTTTTTCAATGGTTAGCAAATCCTGTTTGTTTTGTGGTTAATATGCAGTCAGAAACTAGTCAGTCTGAATTAGCTCTTGTAAATAGCAATTAAAACATGAGAACCTTTTTTGGGATAAAGGTTAAGTATAACTAAAGTCAAGCTCATTGAAAATTTGGAAAGTAAAACTCATAGGTCAGATTATCTATCTCTTTTCACAATGAAGAATGGACTGAGTTAAAGTGTTCCCTCTGACTAGGACCCCATTTGTACCATTTCTCAATCTCACAGTGGTAGTTTTTTGTATGTGTGCAGTTATATAGGCACGTTCAGTTTCATAGATCCTCTTTTGAGAAATGGATAGAACTTAAATAATAATTTTCATCTTTCATAGCATGTAACATTTTTACACAATCTGTTTCTACAAGAGTACAACTAAGCTGGGTGCTGGTGGCTCACGCCTGTAATCCTAGCTACTCAGGAGCTGAGATTTGAGGATTGGGGTTTGAAGCCCGGAACTCTGTGAGACTTTTTTTTTTAATTTTTATTTATTTTTTATTGTGAAAATACTGTACAGAGGGGTTACAATTACATGGGCAAGATAATGAGTACATTTCTCATCAAGCATTGTAGCCTCCTCCTTTGTTTCCCCTTCTTATCTCCAATAAACTACTCAAAAGAGCTGGAAGTGGCACTGTGGCTCAAAAGGTAGAGCACTCGCCTTGAGCAAAGGAAGCTCAGGCACAGCTTCTAGGCCCAGAGCTTAAGCACCAGGTCCAGCCCCCTCCCCCCAAAAAAAGAGTGTAACTAGTAGAGACTACAGTAGAGAGTGTTTCTGACATATAGCATCTGTAAGGGCTAGAAGAGGTGTATATCATACACTAAGGTTCTCTGCATTAATTTAATTAATATATTAACCTATGAACAAGGAACTATTATTTTACTGATTTTATAGATGAAACTGAGGCACAAGCTACACAGCTATAGAAAGAGGTAGGTAGTAAATTATTTTATTGAGGGAATAAAATGTATTAGTTCCCAGTAGAACTGTTTCCACTTGGCTGATTAGCCAGGCTAATAACATTTGCTTCAGTGAATCTGCAAGGTGTTTTTTAGAAAGACAAGTCTGGACCTTGCATACTTGATTGTGTAATTCTTCTTTTCTAGTTTTGGTGATAATGGGGTTTGAACTCAGGGCCTTGAGCTTGCTAAGCAAGTGCTCTTCCACAGAGTCATGCCTCCAGCCCTTTCTGTGCTGGTTAATTTTTAGGTAGAGTCTCACTTCCTGCCCAGGTACACACCTGTACTGTGATCCTCTTATTTTATTTAGGCTTGCTGCCATAGCTAAGATGACAATGTGTCCTACCAAACCCAGCTTCTTCCATTGAGATAGACTCTTGCAGACTTTCCTGAGCTGGCCTGGAATTAGGATCCTCCTAGTCTCAACCTTCTCCACTGTGATGAAGTCTTTCTACAGTAGATGAGCATTTGGAATGTGAGCAAAGTCTATAAGTTAAAGCTTCAGAGCACCAACAGTTAGAAATTCTATGTCGACAGAAGCTCTATACATCTCCTGCGTGTTTCCTATTCCAGTAGGAGTTCCAGTGAAAGCCAGCTGAGGTTACAATGATTGCAACTGTCAGGGTGACTCCTTCCTTTCCTTTTGGTTCACTGCTGGAGAAATCCTGCCCCAGCAACCCTGAAAAGTTTGGCCTTGCTCATACCACAAGTAATCCAGGAATTGCTTGTCAATTATAGGAATATTTAGATTTTGCTGTGACAAGCACAGTACTGTAACTGTAAAGAAATCTTAGGTGAAAATGTAGATGTGGATATAAAATACTGAATATTGACTCTCCAGTATCCCATATGACAGATGAAAATGTAGATTATATTCTCCATACTGACTTTACAAAAGCTTTTAAGTTTTTGTTTTTGTTTTTTTTTTTCATTTTTTGGTGCTGGTCCTGGGGCTTGAACTTAGGGTCTGGGTGTTGTCCCTGAGCTTTTCTGCTCAAGGCTAATGCTCTACCACTTGAGCCACAGCTCTACTTCTGGATTTTTGGTGGTTATTTGAAGGTAGAGTCTCAAGAAATGTATATACCACCCAATGTGGAAGAAATAGTTGTATTGTCAAAGCTCATAGAATTCATAAACTTTATAGACCACGATAATGACAAGTTTGCCTTATGAAGGTTAGAATATGTTTGTGACTTTAACTAAGTATCACTTATTTATGTAATCACTTATTTATGTAATCACTTAATCACAATAAAAAATATAAAATAAATACATAAATAAAAAGTCTCTCAGGAACTTTGCTGCCCCAGATGGCTTTGAATTGTTCTCCTAGATCTCAGTATCCTGAGTAGGTAAGATTGAAGACTTAAGCCACCAGTGCCCAGCTGAAGCTTTTAAGTTTTAATTCCATAATCATTTGAAGTGTGCATAGCTGGGTAATGTTTAGTTTCTGTTGTCTTCCTTTCCATCTAGATCCATGTTAAGGGAAGTTCTCATTTGTGTTGTCTGATACATTAGCCACTAGTCACATGTGTCTACTGAACACTTGAATCTGGTTCATGTGGAATTGAACTTCTAATTTTTATTAAATTTAAACTTGAATAGCCACTTGGAACTAATTGCTACCATATTATTCCACACAGTTTTAGAATGTGGTAACAACCCTCTATTAGAATAGATTATGCCACAGCCATGAAGTATCTGACAACCCTGATGGATTTTTAAAACTGAGGTCATGTCTTGCTTATGTACATGCTCCTTTGGGACTGGCTGAGGACCCAGGGACCTGGAGCAGCCACATGTCACCAAGCCATTATGGATAGTCTTGCAACCAGCATTTAAGTGTTGTGGCCCAAATCTGGCATATAGCACTTCAGCTAATAGATGATTGGCCAGGACTTCACACTACCCCACCTAACCAGGAGGCTAGCACTGAAGTCCTCTGTGCCAGCCAGCAGAAAGCCTCCATAATCTGCCACAGATATTAGACACCCCCTCACGACGAAACACAAGGGATAAAGAGAGTAGTACTACTTGTTTGTTGTGATTCTTCAGAATTCAATTTCCTTACCTCCTTGGTGCTTGTTTGCACAGATTAATCAAGAGCAAATGAGATGTGAAGCAAAATGCAAGCTTGCCGTCTTTGGCTTTTAATTTTGGTTATGTGTTACTGAGGAATCAAACCCAGGACCTCATGCATGTTAGGCAAGCACTCTACCACTATGCCACATGCCCAGCCCCACACTTGCAGTTTTTATATAGAATTCTTGCTGACAAAAGTCAGCATATCTTTTTAGTTACACATAGATTTACCTTTTAATATGACTGTCCGCATTACAAGAAAAAAATGCATTTTTATGTGTTTGGGATGAAAATCAACTGAAGAAAGTGTAATTTGATATTTTTCCTGGTGCAGGATTTTTTTCCTAACAAGGTATAAAAATATTTTTCTTTAGAAAATAAGTTTATCACTGGGAAGATTTGTGGCTTTATGATTTATGAAAAAAAGTTAAATATAAACTGAACAATGGATTGTTTCTCTCCAACTACCCCACAAAAGCACAGATTTATCTAGTCTAACATTTAACAGCATATCTTGAATTCTTTCTAGAATATCCATATTTAAACATCTCAAGATATAGAGGTCTCACTGGCAATATCTGATACCAGACTTCCTATAAGTCAAGACAGGCTGTTTCCTGATAACAAATGATTCTACCCAAGACATGGAAAAAAGATGTGGTTGCCAATAATGAACTGCAAGGTTGGCAATTCAAATAAAGCCCTAGTAAATAATATTTGTGATGGGGCTGGGAAGGTGGCTTAGTGGTAGAGCGCTTGCCTTGCATGCATGAGGCCCTGGGTTCGATTCCTCAGCACTACATAAGCAAAAAGAAAAAGAGCCGGAAGTGGCACTATGGCTCAAGTGGTAGAGCGCTAGCCTTGAGCTGAAGAGCTGAAGGACAGCACCTAGGCCCAGAGTTCAGGCTCCACGACCGGACCCAAAAAATAAAAATTGTGATGGTGATGGTTTTGTCACAGGTAAAAAAAAAGGCTCCGATTTTAGCATTTTGAAGACTTGAAACCATATAAAATATCTTTTGAGGATGTAATGACTATCTAGTCATTGATGCTTGAGAGGAATTTTGAACTAAATGTGTAAAATAGATTACCTATATGAGCAAGAACTATCTTAAAGTCCTTCTGTCCCTACAAAAACAACTGTGTAGGCCAGTTCTTCACAATGGTTGTAGTTACCATGGTGTTTCTGTGGATTCTACAATTAGGTGTATGGAAAAAAAGAGAGGTCTGCAAAGATTGAACAAACAGCATGCACTGTGCTATCCTTTATTTAAAAATTGTGAGTTAACTTACAGTCAGTGTTCTATGGCATAATAAACCGAGAGAACATTAACATAATTCCAAGAAGGTATTAACCTGTAAACACACATACACACCAGCCATGCGCACACACAACATACACGCACCCATGATATAGTCTAAACACAAGTGATGAAAACACTTTAAATGCTCTAAATCAAATCAGAACCCCTTTATTATAATAAACTGTGGTAATACTGTGGCTATGTTGAAAACTAACTGTTTAAAAGCAAAAAAGGAGAATACTGGCAATAGGAAACTAGCAACACAAAGCAGTTAAAAATAGAATAGCAGATAACATAAGGCTAAGTAACACCAAATTTCTGTTGATACTGTATAGGATTGCACAGAATTTGAAATTGGTTCTTACGAAACTATTTAAAAAGTTGCTGTACTTTGCAAACAGTGGAAAAGAAAAAAGTATCTGGAATGTTACACACACACACACACACACACATACACGGAGGAAATGCAGTAGGTATATCAGTTTATGGTCTTTGTGACCTTCAGTACATTTTCTAAAGAAAAAATTTAAGTGCCAATGTAGTAATGTAGTGAAAGAAAGTTAAAAATTCCTAAAAATGTAAGTCTGAGTGCATTTATCAGGTCTAAGAATATGTTTCAAGGTTGGGGCAAGGCATGATGGATGTATATTTAAGAAGGAAAATAGCATGGAACCCGTAAGGTAGGGCAAGCTCTTTGACGTGTTGAGAATGAAGATGTTTGAAACTCAGACTGTCTTGGAATTACAGACGTTGATAAGTTAAAATCAGTTTCATAGTGCCCAATAAATAGTTAAGACTAACATTTCAGCAGACTAGTTTTTCCTAAGTTCAGACACAAATAAATCTCTATCTTTATGCTGTGTTACTGTGTAATAGCATAAGTCTGAATCCTGATTTAAAAAGAAAAAACACATTAGCAAGGATTCCCTACCACACACAGGTTCTCATCCAAATGTCTGAAGCTGCTAGACAATTACAAACAAAGCTAAGTTTAGATCTCATGCTGATTTCAGAAGAAAGGAGATCTTTTTTTCCCAAGAAAGTTGGACTTATCCATGAACAAGGGACCTGTCTTCACAACCTAAGAAACATATGTAATGCTTTTAGTGCTGAAACTCATGACAAGTTCAGATCCAGAAAAACTGCCAGGTGGAATGGGGGAGAGAAATGGAGAATTCAAATGTCTATTGTGTGCTTTGGAATACAGTGTGCCTCATATGTCAGAGTGGCTCAGCTGCTTTCAGAAGGAAATGCTGCAGTACGTACAAGCCCTAGGTCTCTGGGCTGGGTTGGGGGGAAAGAGATCTTCCATCTCCAGAGATTCTAGGCTGAGCTTGCAGCAGCAGGAATCAGAGCACTTGACATGGCTTTACTTCTCATGAGTTTGTTCTATCAGGGAGTTTATGACTTTGCCCACAGAACTATTTATTTTGGTTATTCTCTCTAACACCAATTGGTCAGACAAGTTGCTGGTGATTTCTCTAAATGAAATCTAGCTGCACTAGTATGTTAAGGTTCCAACTAATTCAAATTAATGCCCATCAATAATGCTGGTAGGTATTGACTGTTATTGCTGATGAATCAACCCCAAAATAACCTAACTAGATAATCTATCCTACTACCATACTAGGTGCTTTTACTATCTTGAGTTTTTTGAACTTTAAAGAAATAGTTCTTTCAAAATGACTGAAACTGCTTTTGTCTGGCTTTGTTTCACTCTTCCTCTTCCTCTTCCCCTTCCCCTTCTCCTTCCTCCATGGTTTCCACAATGAGCTCTGCTGTGCAGGTGGCTTCTCCCAGGCTGTTGACAGCCTTGCAGGTGTACTTGGCATCATCATCTCCACAAACATCACTAATAATTAGAGAGCAGTTCCCATCCTCATCGTAGTCTATCTGGAAGTGGCGGGACTCCCTGATTGACTGGTCATCTTTGAACCAGACGACCTCAGGGTCTGGATATCCTGTGCCATAGGAAGAGAACACAAATTGTAGAACCTGTTATTTAGTTTCTCATCAACTCATATTAGCAAACTCATAAGCTACTGTTGATTGGGGTGCGGGGGGAGTCAAAGAAAATGATTGTGATGTTGGTTCTTGGAGTCTATGTTGATATCTTTATAAGAATATGGGCATGCAAAATCTCCAGTTGGGTATTTTAAGATTGTCCATTTCCCACCCATGTTGGACTCTCACAATACCTCACCTGTATAAAGAAAGAAAGCATTGCTAATACACTGCTCCAACTCCAGGTGCTTACCTTGGGCTATATCTTTTTGGGTGATAATGTTTTATCTTGTATAAAAACTTAAACAAATTTAAATTAAAAATAAGAGAATAGTTGGACACAAGGGGTTTTGGGGGTCCTGGAAATGTTCTAAAGTTGGATTGTACTGGTGGCTGCATGACTACTTGTGAAAAAATAGTTGACTTACACATTTAAATTAGGTAAATTTTTATAAATTATAGCACAGTAAAGCAGATAACAGCTATTTAAACCATAAGATAGAAGAAACTGTTAGATCAAGTAACTGGTAATATTACTAAGGAAAAGAAAACTGTTTTAGTCTGATCTACCAGCAGGAAGTCTGCATGCAGATAACTGAGAATGTACCACATGGCTGACCACATGGTATGTATTATGTTTTGTAAAGTTCAGTATTAAAAAATATTTGAGTAAAAATAAAAATATATGAAATTCATGTATGTATTCTAAAGGGGTGTATATATGTCACCAACATTGCCTCTGTGTGTGTGTCGTGTAGGTGAGTCAGTCAGTTGGAATATATGACTGGCTTGTTCTTAAGTATATAAATATATATTAAATATGTAATATATTCCAACTCAATTTTTTGAGAAGTATTTTTAGAGGAGAAAAGTATAACCCCAACTAGAATAAAAATTACATACAAGACCAAGTATGAGTGGCTCATGTCTCTAATTCAAGCTACTCAAGAGGCTGGGATTTGAGAATTATAGTTTGGAGCCAGCCTAGGCAGACAATTCTCAGGACTCTTTTTTTCTTTTACTTTTTCTTTTCTTTTCTTTCTTTTTTCTTTTTTTTTGTTGCAGGACTTAAACTCAGGGCCTGAGCTCTATCCCTGAGCTCTTTAGCACAAGGCTAGCACTCTACTACTTTAAGCCACAGTGCCACTTCTGGTTTTTCTGGTGATTAATCAGAGATAAATCTCACAGACTTTTCTGCCTGGGCTGGTTTTGAGCTGCAATCTTCAGATCTCAGCCCCTTGAATAGCTAGGATTACAGGCATGAGCCACCAGCTCACAGCAGATTCTTAGCTATAGTTAATCTGTAAACTTTGTAAGTAGAGGCATGTCTCAAGTGTAGAGTGTCAATCATGAGTGAATGAGAGTGCAAGTCCTTGAGCTCAAGCCCCAGTACTGGCAAACCACAACCCCCATTATATATTATTTGTATTTTTACATGAGTACATGTGTATGTATGTGTGTGTGTGTGTGTGTGCATGTGTGTGTGTGTGTGTATATATATATATATATATATATATATATTAGTATTCTTTTCAAGTATAATTTCTCAGTACCCCAGCCAGAAGCTATGTAAATGCCATGAAAATAAACCCAAAGGGGTAAGATAATAGTCACTATCTCATAACATTTTTTTTTTTGTGTGTGTGTGTGTCAGTGGTGGGGCCTGGACTCCAGGCTTAAGTGCTGTCCCTGAGCTCTTCACCTCAAGGTGAGCACTCTACCACTTGAGCCACAATGCACTTCCAGCTTTTTCTGCTTATGTGGTGCTGAGGACTCAAACCCAGGGCCTTATGCATACAAGGCAATCACTCTACCACTGAGCCACCTTCCCAGCCCCTCATAGCAAATTTTTTTTAAAAAATAAAGGATGCTGGGTGTCTGTGGCTCACACCTGTAATCTTAGCTACAAACAGCAGAGATCTGAGGATCTCAGTTTAAAACCAGCCAGGCAGTAAAGTCCATGAGACTCTTATCTCAAGTGGCAGAGTGTAAGCCTTGAGCACAAAAGATCAAAGTAACCATGCCCTAAGTTCAAGCCCCAGGATCAGCTGACACACAAAATAAAAAAGGAGAAGTCAAGTGCTGGTGGCTCACACCTGTAATCCTAGCTACTCAGGAGGTTGAGATTTGAGGATTCCTATTCAAAGCCAGCTAGGGCAGGAAAGTCCAAGAGACTCTTTTCTCCAATAAACTACCTAAAAAGCTGGAAGTAAACCTGTGGCTCAATTGGTAAGAAATGTACGCATTATCCTGCCCATGTAATTGTAACCCCTCTGTACAGTATGTTCACAAATAAAATAAAATAAAATTAAAAAAAAACTATCTGGCTCAAGTGGGTAGAGTGCTAGCCTTGAGAAAAAGAAGCTTAGGGATAGTACTCAGACCCTGAGTTGAAGACGCAGGACCAGAAGAAAAAAAAAGGGAAAAAATCTCAGAAGACTCAAAGACAATGGCAAGATGAGAGTGATAGGCTGTGGCTGGAACTTGTTCAGCAAAATCCCCAATATTAGGACTTTGAGGACTTGAGTCCCTGAAGGCAGCACACCTGCTTTCTATTTTAATTGTTAATTTATTTTTGGGTGGTGGTAGTGGTGATGGCAGAAGAGTCTGAACTCAGAGCCTTATTACTTCTGCCATGCCCAACACTTTTTGCTTTAATCTTTTATTTGCAGTCCTGGATTGAATTTGGGGTATTATACTTGGTAGGCATGTGCTCTACCACTCGAGCCATACTCCTAGTCTTATATTTTAGGCTGGCCTGGACAGCAGTCCTCCTATTTATACCACGATGGCTGATTGAGATGGAGTCTGTCTTACTTTTTACCCTGGGCTACCCTGGAACCATAATCACCCTAATCTTTTTCTCCCAAGTACCTGGGGTTAAGTAAGCCGCTACACCCAGCCCTGGTGCATCTACTTTTTTTTTTTTTTTTCTGTCGGTCATGAAGTTTAAACTCAGGGCCTGGGCACTGTCCCTATACTCTTCGGCTCAGGCTAGTGCTCTACCGCTTTGAGCCACAGCTTCATTTATGGTTTTCTGGTGGTTAATTGGACATACAGAGTTTCATGGACTTTTCCTGGGATCCTCAGATCTCTTCCTCCTGAGTAGGTAAATTATAGGCATGAGCCAGTGGGCCTGGTCAACATGGTATTGTGATAAGCTAAAGGTGTAGGAGCAAAACAGTCTTTCCATTTCTACTGTGTGTTAGTTTCTTCAAAAGGCATTAGAGTTATAGTATTAAGACAAAGTGGGTATATGGTTTGCTCTCACAGAGGTGCTACGCTTGTGGCCTTGGAGAAGTTGCTAAATAAACTTGCATTTTACTTGCGCAGACCAAGATGGGAGATAACCCTCTACTCTGGTTGGTACATGAAAGTCACAGCCTTGAAGAGGCCTGTCTTATCTTGTCCCCTATCCTTCTAGAATTTTGCAATCCATGGAGCTGGAAAGGTGATGTGTCATTAACTTTGCTAGTTGCTCAGGTGCTATGTTAAGATCCCTTAAGGTCTTTGAGTTCTAATTGCTTGTCATTCGGTGGCTGCATTATTTCTGGGGGAGACAAGGCACAAACTGACTTGCCTAGGTCCCAACTTAGTTTGAGGTCATATTGCAGCTCCTTCCATATCACCATTTTCCCCTTTACTCCATGACTTCTTTTAAAACAATACAAAGGTTCCCCCCTTTTGTACCTGTGGTCTCACAGTGCCCAGGGCTCTCTGCAGGTTGGATATCACTGGCATGAATTCACAGCCCAAAGTCACACTGCCTGCTGACGAGCAGCTGAGCCAGCCCACTTGAATTGTCTGCCCTTTTCACCAACCTTTCTTTGAGAGCTTCTTGTGGGTAAACCACATGTTTCTCAGGGGTTTGCAATGCCTGGTTTGTTATGTAAGTGCCATGGTCAGGGAGCTCCATGAGAAGCCATTTTAAAACAGGTCCCATGACGTGTAAGAAATCAATGGACACTTAGGACAGTTACTTGAGAGCACTAATGTTTAGGAGAGGGAGTGGAGTGAGTAGCTCTTCTGGAGCAGCTCCTCCTGACCCAGTGTCCCTCCCTCAGGGCCTCCTGTGGCTCTGAGCTACACAGACCTGACATCTTTCCCAGGGCTCCCCTGTGCTGCTGTCTCAGGTATGGTGAAGAGGCCTAGCTATAGCTTACCTTCAATTTTGCAGTCAAATCTAGCAGCACTTCCCTCCACAACTTCCAGATCACGAATGGTCTTTGAGAAATAGGGCTTCACATGGGGCTTTTCCTCAGCCACAGCCTCAAGGAAAGCCTGGTTGACATCTTCTAGAAGACAAGAGAGAAGACCAGGTCATTCCTTCGTTCCCTATTCTTGTCTCCCCCTAGATCAAAAGGGCTGGCTTGAAAAAAAAAAGTTGCTCTAATTTCACAAATAATGCAGCTTGTAGGAGTGAATCACAAACACGCCTTTCTCCTAGGGATGAGTTGGCCTACTGCCAAAAACATTTGGCAGCAGAGAACTGTGCCCCAAATGGGGAAATGTTCAGCCTCCCCCTTCCCTGATGCTGACACATTGAAAAGGAAGTCATCTTTTAAAAAGGGGGGCTTTAGCTGCATTTTATGCTGCTGCAGGATCACTGAGGGCATCCACGAGGGACAGAACCTCCTGCCTTCCTGACTCAGTGCCCTGTGCCCCCTTGCTACAGCAGGTCCATCACCTGCCTTGAGTGGAGCAGCCAGGTCTAGAGGCACATTCATCTTGCCAGCATTCTGTGCTTGGCCTGCATGTGGTAGGACTATGGATTAGGATGTGGGATAAATCCAGGAAAAAGTCTGAGGCTCCTATGTCCTCTACTCCCTTGAGGCTATTTCTGGTCACCAGGGCTGCCTGGGTTATGGCAGGAGTGGCTCATGAAGCACAAGGCCTTTGTGCTTTAGAATCTGCCCTTGACCTCCAGGAAGCTCTAGAGCAACAAGTTATGGGTCTTGCCAGTTACCCTAATTTTGTGCCCAATGGGATCTAGGCTCAACTTTTCACCTGTGGATACCCAAAACACCAGGCAATGGAGGAGGTTCACCTGGATAAGAAAGGGCCGTCTGTGTGCACCGGAAACAAGAGGAGCCTAAGGCTTTTATGCAGAGATTGTTAGCGGTAGCTCCCAAAGGTGGGAGGCAAGGAGCTAGGCCTGTTGGTCCCAGGAGGGACCTGCTTATTGTAACTGATAGCTACACATTTCTGCAGCATGAAAACTGTGAAGGAATATGGAGTATTCAAATTCCTTTTGTTAAAAACAAAAACACAAGGACTGTATAGAATGGGCGGATAACTTTAAATGTTACACAATCTTAGTTTTTGTTTTTGCCTATTAATACCTAAGTCTTGCTTTTGTAATAAAAAGAGAAAGATTTTTAATAAGGCCTTTGTTAGTTCTTGTACAAAGCACAGGAAAAAGAATAAGCAAGCAACTAATTCCACCAGACAAATAATAGCTTTCCTTCTGAAGATAGTTAAGCCAAAGGTTTAACAAAGAATAATTGCTAGACTTACCAGTTGTCAGGGCAACCCCAAAAGTCCTGATTTTATTCTTGTGGGCTATATTAAGAAAACAAAAGCAAACCTCAAATCCTCAAAATGTCCCCCTACCTGAAAACCGCTCTCTCCCTCTGATAGGAGGAAGCCCTCTCGGCGCTCCTTACCTTCTGATTCTAGCTTCTCTGCATTGAGAGGGCTGGTTGGTGACCCTGTTGAGGATTTCCTGCCGCTGAGCCCTGAGATCATTGCCATAGAGGACAGTCTTCCAATGGCTCTCACAGCATTGCCCGTTTTCTGGAAAATAAGACACTGAGGTTGGTCTCAGGCAGTGTCCCTGACTGCAGCAGGCCTGCGCTCAGGCAGGGGGCCTTGGAGCAGAGCCTGATGCAGGAGAGGCTCCCCGAACCCACTGTCTTCTGAGTGAGCGAGTGTAGGTCCTGTCTGAGAGTGAGCCAGCCTTGCTCTGCTCACACTGTCAGCGTGTCCGAAGATGTTCAGAGAATGGAATGGGGCCTGGAACTGATGTGTGCGTTAATGTGACTAAACAAGGTCAACATGAGACAAAAACCCTTTTCATACTGTGCTTCAACTCCCATAAAAGGGATAGTTTATATAAAGCAACTGCAGGCTGAGACAGCTCCAAAGACTTATTGCGGACTGGCCCAGTGAGGCAGTTTCTCATAAAACAATGTCTGTGATAGGATTTTAATTGGTCAAGAAGACAGTTACTACAAATCCCATGGGTCCTCGTGGAGGGAAAGAGAGTCGACCTTGGGTGAGCCACTTAATCCCCGGACTGCATTTTCTTCCTGTGTATAAGGAGGAGGCTGGGTATGATGGTCTCCAAGGTCCTATTTAGTTCTGTTTATGATTCAGATAACTTAGGAGATTTCAAGAAACACCCAGGCTGGCCTCAGTACAAGTCCATGGTTGTTCAGAGGAGTCTGGGGTGGTGGTCTTCCCGAGTCTCCTTAGGGATCGGAAAGAAGCACCCAAATAGGCACCTTAGGAGTGGGTAGAATTCTACTGAAAAGGATCAGAACTTGAGATGTAATTTCTTTGCATTGCAAAAATCCTACTAAGCATAGGATTTAAAGCCAAAGATCCTCAAAGAATGAAATTTTGTCTGTTTCTCATGTTCTGATAAGGTTTCTCTTCTGGTCATTTCTCTGGGTCAAGGGGAATGGCTAAGAAAACTCAGGCATAACTCAGTAGTCTTTCCACTCCTGCTCCATGCAGCCCTGCATTTTTCTTAGGCATAAAGAGACACTGTACCCACAGAACAGACGTCACCACAGATTGTCTTCTTGTCCCCTTCTGAGAGAGGAAGGAAACAGCCTCTTCAGAGGCAGATGCCACGCACTGGCTCACCGAACCTCAAGCTGTGCTGGCAAAGCCATTTTCCTCCAGAATTAATTCCACATACAAATCTTAGGAAAGTCTCACTCTTTTGACTACCTGGAAAGCCAGTGTTTTGGGTAAAATGATTATTTCAAAAAGTGGCACATTTCAAGATGTTAAGAGACTATATGGAAAATTGTGTCTGACTTAAGTAGGGACCTGCCGTTGTAACCACAGTCACTTTTCCTTCCTGTCCCCTCTCCTCCGAGTGCAGATGATATTTATGCACTTTGAACAGACATTCCAACTGACTCTGTTCTCTGGCCATTTGCCCTTCTGCACACAGCACTAAGTGGTGTGGGTGTACTTTTGACCCTCTGCTGCTTCAGTGTAGGTGGGTCACTCCAAACAGGAGGCCAAGAGTGGGGTGATGAGGAGAAAAGAACAGAATCCAGGAGGCCCAGGAGTGGGGTGATGAGGGGAAAATCATGGCTCTGTAGGGAATGTCCCTGCAGACTGAGGCCACATGGCAGCCTTTCAAGCTCTTCTTAAGAGAGGTTGTTACTTAACTGATGGCCTGGTTAATCTCTCTGTAGTGTTAGGAGTGTGGCAAAACCAGTTCCCACAGGAATTGCTAAGAAGGTAACACAAGGTTGGAGGAGCCTCCTTGGTTATCAGCCAAATCCTACACCCTACTCTTTGAGCTCTCTATACCTTTTAGCCAATGCAGACTGGTTTGCCGTGGGGCCAGGAGTCTCTAAATTCAGAGGGTTTGTTCAGAGGGTGATCCAGTCAGGGGATCCAGTTTAGCTCTTAGCTCCCCTCTATGTACCTTAGTGTCTAGATTCTGTGTTAAAAAGATTTGAATTTTCGTTTAGTTCTCATCTTCCCAGAAAGACTATGACTCATGCTCATGAATACAGGGGAAGGGGTATTGCTTGCTCCAGCCCATAGGCTCCCCAATTCCAGACACCTAAATGAGGATGGACCATGTCTGTCTTCACTAGTATGTGCAGAAATATGATGTCTTTTTCTTCTTATTTTGTAACTAAATGTCTAACAAGAAGTTATCAAAGAGTTGAAATATTTCAGAGGAGTGACAAATATGTTAAGAAGCAAATACATCATCTTGGGAACATTTCCAGCAAATGTAGGTGTTTAGCATATAATTTTTTAAGCAGGGCGAAATGTGAGTCTTAATAATTTTTTTCAAATAATCTACATTAGAATTCAATCTTTGGAAACTGACTTGTGAAAAACAATTGTTAAGGAAGGAGTTTATCAGAACCAGAAAATAAATATCTCTGTGTTCTGGTCTTTTAGTGTCACGGCTCTAAGCCTGAGATTGCTACTTTGCCAAGATCTTTGGAAACTATTGGAACAAAATTCAAACATCAACGTTTCAATTCTCTAACTTTCGTCTTTATTTTGAGAAAGACTTTTCATCTTTGGAGGGCAATTGGTGGACAGCATTTGTCTGGGCCTCAAAAATATAGTACAAACTCTCCAGTTTCTGGAGGGCCAGTTAGAATGGCAACCAATGACAAATGTCCTGGTTCACCCAAGACTGTGGGTTTCCTGGAATTAGGGTCATTCAGTACTAATATCCATATAGTTGCTGGTAAAAGTGAGGCAAGTTGGTCATCATGGCACCAGCCAGCCAATAAGGCCCTACATATCCACCAACATCCCCAAGACTGCAGTTTTCTCTAAGCACAGTACATAATGTCCAATTGCGATGCTATATCGAGTCTCATGTTTTCTCTCCTGTTGCCCTTGATACACTGTTGGGGACTTTGTGGTTCCCAGAAACTAAAGGTATTTGCCCATAGGCCTTTTAATTCCTAGTTCTTTCCTTCCAGTTTGTATGTATTAGCCCTGTTATCCTTACTCTTACTGCCAATCCTTACTGACATGTCTTTGTGAAACTCTTTAATACAAAATTTAAAATATACCTTCTTTTAGAGTAACTTCATTCTCAGATCAGAATACAGTGAATCATCTATAGCCAGTGTAGTCTTGCATGGAGGGGTTTTGTCCCCATGTTGCTTCCTTCCTCTGGTACCTCTTTGAAAACCAGAACTCCTGAATAGTTATGAGGTTCCTTGTAGAATTAGCTGAATTGCCTATAACCTGAATTAACCCTTCACTCAGCACAGCCCATCCCTCTCTACTCTATTAAATATAACCTTGGCTACTCTGAGAGGGGATACTGCCCCTATTATTCCTAGGGGAGCTAAGGTCCTATGATTAGTTTAAATATGGGAAACATTGACCTTAGGAAGTGACCTAAGATGGCTGATCATTTGGAGCAGGACTGTTTCTGCTTTAGAGATGTTTGGTGTTGGGTGAGATTTTTTTGTTGTTGTTGGTTGTAGAGCTTGAACTCTGGGCCTAGGCACTGTCCCTCAGCTCTTCAGCTCAAGGTGAGAGCTCTACCACTTGAGCCACAGTGCCATCTCCTGTTTTCTGGTGGTTTATTGGAGATAAGAATCTCAGGGATGCTCCTGCCCGGGCTGCCTTTGAACCATGATCCTCAGATCTCAGCCTCCTGAGTAGCTAGGATTACAGGCTGAGCCACCAGTGCCCAGTTCTGGGTTAGATTTTGTAGAATAGTTTTTTGTTTTGTTTTGTTTTTTGGTTGGTCGTGGGGCTTGAACTCTGGGCTTGGGTGCTATCCCTGCACTCTTCAGCTCAAGGCAAGCGCTCTACCACTTTAGCCACAGCACCACTTCCAGTTTTCTAGTGCTTTATTGGAGATAAAAAGTCTCACAGACTTGCCTGCCCCTGCTGGCTTGGAACCGAGATCCTCAGATCTTGGCCTACTGAGTAGTTAGGATTACAAGCGAGAGCCACCGGCACCCGGCTGTAGATTAGTTTTGTGTAGAATTTTGTGAAACCTGTTTTTTTTTTTTTTTTTCCAATTGTGGGGCTTGAACTCAGGGCCTAGGTGCTGTCCCTAAGCCTTTGTGCTCAAGGGTAGCATTTTACCACTTTGAGCCACGGCTCTACTTCCCATTTTCTGGAGGTTAATTCGAGATGAGTCTTACAGACTTTCCTGCCTGGGCTGCTTTTGAAATGTGATCCTTAGCTCTCAGCCTCCTGAGTAGCTAGGATTACAGCCATGAGCAATTGGTAGCCAGCTCTCACTGTTGGTTTTGTGGAAAAATAATTTCCAAGTGTTTCCACCTCTATTAAAATAGGGAATTAAGGGACTGGGAATGTGGCTTAGTGGTAGAGTGATTTGCCTAGCATGCATGAAGCCCTGGGTTCAATTCCTCAGTACCATATAAACAGAAAAAGCCTGAAGTGATGCTGTGGCTCAAGGGGTAGAGTGCTGGCCTAGAGCAAAAGAAGCTCAGGGACAGTGCCCAGGTCCTGAGTTCAGGACCTGAACTTTTCGCCAGGTCTGGCAAAAAAAAAAAGGGGGGGGGATGGGTGGGATTAAGGTTCTTTTCTCTAAATTCTACTGCTTTTCTCTCCCCCACTCCACTTTGAGAAAAATACTACATATAATAATATTATAAATAACAAGAAAAAATTTAAAAAACATTAGGAACAATTATTAATTCCATGACTGTTATGACTGACATTTCATTTGCTTCTATTTTTTATGCTGGTCCCAGGGCTTGAACTGAGTCTGGGCACTGTCCCTGAGCTTTTTTGTTTAAGGCTAGAATACTTGAGCCACAGCTCCAATTTTGACTTTTTGTTGGTTAATTAGAGATAACAGTCTCACAGACTTTCCTCCCCAGGCTGGCTTTGAACCTTAATCCTCATATCTCAACCTCCTGAGTAGCTAGGATTACAGCATAAGCGACCAGTGCTTAACTTTCATTTGCTTCATATCTTATATCTTCTTCTTCCTCCTCCTCCTCCTCCTCTTCTTTCTTTGTTGGTCATGGGGCCTGAACTCTGGGCCTGGGTACTGTCCTTCAGTTCTTCAGCTCAAGGCTAGCACTCTACCACTTGAGCCACAGTGCCACTTCCGGCTTTTTTCTGCTTATGTGGTGCTAAGGAATTGAACCCAGGGTCTCATGCATGCAAGGCAAGCATTCTACCACTGAGCCACCTTCCTAGCCCCTATATCTTATGTCTTCTGCACTTGACCTGAGGTTGTGTTCCAAGATGTAAAGGCTGCCCCTTACCACACAGCCTCATCCAAGTGAGATCCAGTTAGACCTGCTTCCCTGCCCCATCTCTCTAGAAATATTTCTCCAAGATCTACTTGCTGGCCAGGGATCATTGGCAAACCTGACCTGATTATTAGCAAAGCTGACTATGGGTTTTACTGACACCCTTTTGAAAAGAACATTTGCAATTTGGTGTTAAAGGTCCCAGGAAGGAGGAAGCAGAGGTATTCTACTCACCTTTCATTGACCCACCCATCCCTTCACAAGGGTGGGGCATGCACTAAGCATGACCTGCCTGCATTGTGGAGGAGCTCTGGCTGCCACATACTTGGGTCTCCAGTCTCTGAAAATCTAAACCACAGGCCCTGAAGCTTTTTCAAGCCTTCTTAAATCTCTATGTGAAGTTGTACTTCTCCAGAAAACTGTGTGACAAAGGACTTCCTTTTTTTCTACCGCATGAGCAAAGTCTCAGTGCTCTCAGGTCCCCAGAATCTCCAGCCAGTGTGGGCCCAGTTTCCACTTCTGTTTTTACCTCCAGACACACTCCCCTGTAGTGTGTTCCATACTTAATTTCCAGCTCCTGCCTCTGCAAGAATCTCCTTTAACCTCATCAACTCTGGCTAGGACTGACCTCTTCTGCTTATGCTCACATATATGGTTATGGTTATGGATAGCTATAGTGATAGTTTATAGTTCCCGTGGGCCTTATGTCCTTTTATGTCTATGTGTTTGAGTTTCCTCTGCATTATACATCCCCTGAGTTTGAAAACCAGGGTATGGAAATTCCTACCTCCAGGAGTCCTAGATGTGCTATAAATTATGATAGTCATTTATATTATTTATATTATAACTTGGTGGTAAAAACTGCTCTGCAGTTTTGGATGCTAGTTTTATCTATCTTATTATCAGAGGCAGTTCTATGTCATTAAGACTGTACTTCAGAGCCAAGTTCTGTGTTTGACTACTGACTTTTCCACTTAGCTGTGTGATCCTCGATGACTTCCTAACATATGCTGTGCCTCGTCTGTCTGTAAAGTGGGGCTGCTGATAGTATCTGCTATCTAAGATTAAAGACTTACTGCACAGCAAGAGCTTTGAATAGCCCCTGTCCCCCAGCCAGCCCTCCATACCTGTTAGCTTACTAATAGTATTTTCAAAGGCCAGTTATGTGGTTGGCATTGTAATAAAGGCCATGAGATGATTATCTCACAGAGGTCTCATCAATGGAGGGGTGTCAATTTCTCACCATGTCACAGATGAGAAAATGAACCCATAGTAAGGCTCAATCCTTGCTTAAATATGCACAGCAACACCCAGCCTCTCTAGAAAGTGGCTAAGTAATGGTGTTCATCCCTAGCCATGAAGACAGGAACACCAGCAGCCTAACCTGAAAGAGGGCCAGGCTGCCTGAGATCTCCCTTATTGGTCCCTCTAGGACAGAGCTGAGCAGAATGGGAGAGACAAGCTGTACTTGAGCAGCCAACTTCCTGTCAGCAAAAGAGGTAACACTGTATCTTAATTAGCTGCCTAACTAGGTCCCAGACTATTTTAGAAACAAATGCAGACTTCCTGGGGAGTGAGGCCAGGGCCAGTTTTAATAAGAATGGCTTGATTAAAGCAAACATGGGAGCTACACATCAGTCCCAAGGAGCCTACATTACCTGCCATTTCCTTCGCGCCATGTACTTCTTCATCCGGTCTTTGGAGAGCTTCTTGGCCTCCATGTTCTTGGTGTCCTTCATCAGCCATGGATGCTGAAGGCATTGGGTACAGTTCAGGCGGTCTCTGATAGGGGTAAAGACCAGAGGATTTCTGAGAAGAGGAACTCAGAGACTGTTGGTTAAATCAGAAATGGGAGATCACCTGTCCCTAGTCACACCAGGCACAGCCAAGAGTTCCTCTTTCTTGATTCATCTGACATGATCAGAGTCACTCTGCACTTGGCCTTTTTCCCAGCACAGGCTAGTGTTAAGAAGCACAAGCTACCAGGAGAGTAGGTAGTATCTCATGATCTTCTCCTGGGATCCAGGAAGGGTTAGTGCTGAAAGACAGACTTGTCTGGGAAGGCTGGCACCATATTCTAGGGCAGGGTCTCTGATAGTCACATTGGGGTTGGGCTCATCTGGGGTCTAATCTTCTGTCTCCTCATCTAGGGAGGAGAAGGGAGAGTGAAATTCTAGAAAAAGAAATTTTAGAATTATTGAACTCCTGCCTTATTGTATTGTTGGGTATCAGATCAAAGAAGTGTGTCCTCCATACAATTAGTAAATCATGGCAACTTTTGAACTGCACTGAAACTCAGTTAATCTCTCTGAGATTAATCTCTCTGAGCCATCACCTCAACTGTAATAGAACTATAAATCCCAGAGAACCAAATGCTAACCAAACATAGAACAATGACTGGAAAGATGGACAGCACAATATACTAATTCTGAGGTAAAGGGGTTTATGGGTACCTCTGTTTTCTACATTATACTTTATAACAATTTTTTTGAAAACAAACGTCTGGTTGGAAGGATGCTGAGTACAAGAGTTTATGGGAATCAGATATTTTGATCAATTTGATTAAGATCAATTTCAGGGCCTGGGGTTGAATTCAGGTCCTCAGCCTTGCTTGGATGGCACTCTAACCACTTAAGCCACACCTCCAGCCCTCCCTTTTGGTGGTTAATTACAGATGGATTCATAGACTTTTCTGTCTGTACTGGCTTTGAACTGTTCCCAGATATGAGGCTTCCCCCCAACCCTCACTGCTTGTGTGCCCGACATCATGTCATTATCACCCTGTGGAAGGCCTGCTCCTTATTGCCAAATCCAATTTGGAGGCATTGGAACTAGGCCTTGCCTCATCTGCCCACATCTATAGAGTAGGTGAGGTGCCAATGGGCCAGAGGTCTTGGCTGGTATCTCCATGGCTCTCTGCCCCAGGCAGCTCTCCCTGTGTGCATAGACTTTTCATCTTCTTACTTCAATGGAGCCAATTCTGCTCATACACCACCAACGCTGTATAGCCGCAGCTAACCTCCTCCACTTGAGTCTCTTTCTCAGCTCCATTCTGAAGCCTCGTGAAACCCTGAAGGCCCTGTACCTGACACTCCTCCCTGCTGCGTCATCCACATGTGGCCTCCAGGGCCCAGCCTCCCACTGTTTGCTACTGTGTTCTGTGTCAGAAGGAACCAGGACATATTCAGACAGGTAGCTCTTAAACAGTCACATGTGGGGAAAAAAAAAAAAACATGAAACAAGAACAATCTGGAGACATGAAGACCTTCCAACAGTTCCCAAACTGCCTCTGTATCTGTGTTTGCACACTGCAAAGGCACATTCTTTGCAGAGGGGCTATGGAAGGTCCCCAGGGCCATAACCTGATACAAAAAATAAAAGGAACCAGGCACCCGTGGCTCACGCCTGTAATCCTAGCTACTCAGGAGGCTGAGCTCTGAAGATTGTGGTTCAAAGCCAGCCTGGCAGGATCTTATCTTCAATTAACTGCCAGAAAATCAGAAGTGGTGCTGTGGCTCAAAGTGGTAGAGCACTCACCTTGAGCTGAAGAGCTCAGGGAAAACACCCAGGCCCAGAATTCAAGCCCCATGACAACAAAAAAAAGGGGGTAGGGGTTGTCATCATTCACATAGCTACCTCTTCCTATGATTTTCTCTCAAAGATCATTTTAATAGTAGATTTTTTTGTTTGGTCAGCTCCATCCCTTAGCTTTTTTGCTCAAGGCTAGAGCTCTACCACTTTGAGCCACAGTGTCATTTCCAGTTTTCTGGTGGTTAATTGGAGATAAGAGTTTCATGAACTTTCCTGCCTGGGCTGGCTTCAAACCACGATCCTTACATCTCAGCCTCTTGAGTAGCTAGGATTAGAGGCATGAGCCACCAGTGCCCAGCTTAGTATATTCTTTAAAGACACTTTAGTGCTTCTAAAGATGGATGTTAGGGGCCAGACATGGTGGCTCATACCTGTAATCCTACCTACTTGAGAGGCAGAGATTGGGAGGATCAAGGCTTGAGGCCAGCCCAGGCAGAAAGTGAGACAGGCTTGGGGACATGACTCAAGTGATAGAGCCTCTGGCTAGCAACTTGGAAGCCCTGAGTTTAAATGCTAGCACCTGCCACTGTGTGGCAGCAGGAAGGAGGAGTCTGGGAGGAAAGCTAAAGCTCCCCCCCATCATGGGCGGGGCCTCTTAGGGGCCACCCTCCCCCCTTCCCCTCGCACGGAACCCAGGACTGGTGTGGAGCCAGGGGTGAGGATGGAGTCCCAACAGGCAGAGGAAAGCCCTCTGCCCAGCACCAGTGCAGGGACCGAGCAGACCAACGAGCCCACTCATTACTTCATGTCCTTCTTCAGCAAATTGCTGATGAAATCCTTGGCATCATCTGAGATCTCATCGAACGCCTCGTCGTCAAAGTCCCAGGTAGCTGAGGTAACGTTGGCTAAGGTCTCATTATCATTGTCACCCATGAAAGGGGAAAGTCCACTGACCCTGGGGGAGGAGAACAGGAAAGAAGGATGAAAGGGAGGTCAGTCAGGAGGCAAGGGGGTGCAACTCTGCAGGTGGGGACTAAGGTCATAGGTGAAGGCTTTTACAAAGCCCCTCACCCTAACGCACACTGGCCCTTCCATCCCCCCACACAATGGAGTGCATGCATGTCTCTGTGGTTGCATCTTTTCTTGGACACTCACTGTGCATCGGGGTGTCCACACATCCACAGAGAACACAGCAGGGGCTGAGACATCTCCCTCCTGTGCTCCATCCTGAAGCCCATAGATGCTCACACCTCTCTTGAATCCTGTCTTTTTTTTTTTTTTTGTCGGTTGTAGGGCTTGAACTCTGGGCTTGGGTGCTGTCCATGCACTCTTCAGCTCAAGGAGCACGCTCTACCGCTTTAGCCACAGCGCCACTTCTGGTTTTCTAGTGGTTTATTGGAGGTTAGAGTCTCACGGACTTTCCTGCCTGGGCTGGCTTTGAACCGCGATCCTCAGATCTCAGCCTCCTGAGTAGCTAGGATGACAGGCATGAGCAACTGGCGCCCGGCTCCTGTCGTCTCTTACAGTGAGAATTGCTAAATCTCTGCCCCTCTCTTTTCCTACTATAAGTTCCAGGAAAAGGTGGAGCACACAGGGGCAGCCCAGAGACAGGAGCCAAATGAACACAATAACTTTCAGTCAGCAAAGCAGGGCACAGAGCACCTGAGCTGTTTAGGCCAGGCTTCTAGGAAGCTTCTATGAGGGGGGCAGGGCAGAGGCTAGAGTCCACAGCGTGTGCATCTGCTGGGAAAACCTGGGCAATTCCCTTCTCTGGTCACCCTCTCTTCCTGCTGGAATATAGAAAGCCTCCCGCTTAACTACAAGGGTGGTCCTCTCTTCAGCAGCAGACATTTACCACACATAGCCAGGTAGAAAGCTGAAATAGATGAGCTCTTAATCTTACCACTGCCCTAAAACACAAAGGACTCTTTTTTTCTTCTAAGATGTTTTAAATTGTTACCATTCGCAGCAGTGATATTTCACTAGATACTAAGTTGAAAATGAACTGGACAACTTGTGGGTAGGGAAGGGAGGGGGCAGCTGGGGGAAAAGTAAGGGAAGGGGTGACAATGTCCAAAAAGAAATGTACTCATTACCTGACATATAACTGTAGCCCCTCTGCACATCATCTTTATAATAATTAAAAATAAAAATGTTATTATTAAGGTGATGTACAGGGAGGTTACCGCTTCATAAGTCAGGTAAAGAGTACATTTCTTTTGGGGCAACGTCACCCCTTCCTTCATTCTGTCCCAGTTTCCTCTTCCTGTCCCCATCCATAAGTTATACAGTTCATTTTCAACATAGTGTCTAGTGAGTACCACGACTGCATTTGTTCACCCTTTGTCCCTCCATTTCAACACAGGGGGCTCTTATTTCTTCATTGTACAGAGAAGGCAACCGAGGCACAGAACGGTTTAAGTTATCCACCAGTGAGTCAGTCAGGGAGCTGGGTGCCTGGCCCCTGAGGCTGCTGTGAGCTAGCATCCTTTGTGGTTAAGGTAGCTGCTACTAGGCTGACCACAGTAAGCACTCCTCCAGGACCACAGACATTGTGCAGTACTGTCATCTTCTGATCACCTGCACTGCCTCCCCCAGCCTGTGGTCATGGGAAAGCCTCATCTACCAGTAGCCTAAGCCAAACACAATTTGGAAGTCAGGAAATCCAAGTAGAGCAGGTTTATGACTCACAGACTTGATTTGTGACCTCTGTGTACCTCTTCTTCATACAGCACCCCCCCATATGGATGTTAACCCAGGACTGGCACGCACACGTGGGTGTGTGACACGTGAAGCTTCCCAAAATCATACCCTTCCAGGGGCCCACATTTTGCTGTCATGCTTTCCTGCCATCATCTCAGAATTTCTAATAATGTTTTTACCTTTTGAGTTTGCAATGATGATGATGATTATTTTATTGTTATTATAAAGGTGATATAAAGAAGCATTATGGCTACAGAAGCCTGGTAATGAGTACATTTCTTTTTGGACAATGTCACCCCTTCCCTCGCTCTCTCCCAGTTTTTCCCTCCCATAACCACACAACAAGTTGTACAGTCCATTTTCAACAATGTGTCTAGTGAATACCACAGCCACATTTGTTCACCTTTTGTCCCTCCATTTCTGTGACCCCCTGTGCCCTCCCAAAGACAGATCAACAAAAAGAAAAGAAAACAAAAATAGCAACAAAGAAAATCCCTCTTCTTTCCATTTCCTGGAATTTACTTCAATAAAGATTATTTTATATAGTCAGATGCACATAGCCATTGCACCTTTGTGTTCCTCTTCTAAGAATATCCTCCTTTGTTTCACTGTCTGAACATCTAAGTGAATTTGCAAAGAAAGGTTTCATGAGTCCCAACAATGATTCCTCGTCCCAAATCCTTATGACTCCAACATCATAAATTACAGTAGACTAACAGTTTTGGCAACTGAGACCTCAGCTTGTGGAATATGCATGCATGTGACCACTGAGCTTGGTGAAGCAATACCCTCCAGAGGATGAAAGCTCTGGTGAACACTTTTACAAAGAGAGGAAAAGTTTAGCAATGTGAATTATCTCACCCTAATCTCACCCATATTTGTGTTTTTGAGTTAATAGATGTGTGTGTGTGTGTGTGTGTGTGTGTGTGTGTGTGTTTGTTGGTCCTGAGGATTGAATTTAAGGTTGTCCTTGAGTTTTTGTGCTCAAGGGTAGCACCCACTTGAACCACAGCTCCAATTTCCACTTCTCGTGGTTAATTGGAATCTCATGGACTTTTCTGCCCATGCTGGCTTTGAACTGTGATCCTCCGATTTCAGGCTCCTGAGTAGCTCTGATTACAGGAGTAATACATTTTTATAGTTGGATTTCTTAAGACACTGATTTATGTTTGTGTGGAGGGTGCGGGTATTTCCTGGAGTTTGAACTCCCAGCATTGTGCTAAATATGTAGGCACTCTACTACTTAAACCACACCCTCAGCCCGAATTTGTATTTAAGGAAGGCAAAGAAGAAATCATTCTTAGTCGAGTCTCTGTGAGAGAGGGGTAGGAATTTACCATTTCCCAAGTCTGCCTAGTTATGTGCTGGGCCTTTCCATTCTCTGGTCCTCCCTTGCTCATTTTATACACCATAGGACTGGGGTCCTAGCTCCCCCCCATCTCTTTGATGGGGATGACCCCATGAGGCTTAAGCTAGCCCCTTTAGGAAGCAGCCTGCCTGTCTCTGCTTGTCTGCTACCTGCTTCTTCTGGTCTGCATTTTCCACTGGAAATAAGGTGAAGTCCTACAGCCCTCTGAAAGATGGAAGGAAAAGCAAACAATCCTGCTGTGGAATGCCAAAGGGGCCCCTTCTGCAAACTTCCTTTCCTAATTAGGAGTTGTAATCCTGCAGAGATAGGTCTTAATCTCTGCAGGCAGGGAGAGCCCATAGCCTCTGGCCTTGGCATCCCTCCGCCTGGCAGCACATTCATCAGAAACAGCCTCCAGCCAGCTGGCTCCTTGCCTGCCACGGCAAGCACCCCCGCATTCTTCCCACTGAGGACCACGACTCTAGACTAAAACATGGGATGTGCGCACACATAATGTATAAGCATGATGATAAGAGTATTTGAATTTTCAGTAGTGATGGTTCTGCATGGGATTTTGCTGGCTTTCTCCTGTTTGTCTCCCTTCCCTTCCCCATTCTCTCACACACAATGTGCTCCAAATTGGTCTTGAACTCTTGATCTTCTTGCCTTAGCCTCTTAAGTAGTGGGATTATAGGCATGTACCATCACACCAACTTGGATTATTTTTTAACTTTCTTTTTGAATTTGATTGCTAGAGTTTACATAAGGGATCTCATGCCTTTATTTGTTAAAAGTCATCCAATCACTGATGCTCCGTTAAAACACAACTTTTCCCCCTCTTCTTAGTCTTACTTAGTTTTTAAACAGGAGACTGATGCAGTTTTCACGTGATTGTGTAGAAGACCAGTTTGGGAAAGTTCTCAAGTACTTTATTTTTTCCACTTGGCATCTTAAGTATAGAGAGTCTTCATACTTAGTCTGAATGCTAATGAGTCACAAGAGTCACAACCACAGAACATTCTAATTTCTGAATTCTTAGGGTTTTTGTTGTTGTTGTTCTTCTTTTGTTTGTTTGCTTTGGCAGTGCCAGGGATCAAACCTAGGGTCTTGAGCATGCCAAGCAATTGCTCAACACTGAGGACACTACATTGTCTCAAGCCAAGAGACACGTGAACTGGCTGTAAGAGCAGTCAGCTAATGGGACCAAATATCTGTCAGAAGGACTCAGTTCTTAGGAAAGGTTTAGTCTTCATCCCACTTTCACCCTCAGACGTTAAGTGAGGGAGTTGGAGATGTCTGAGCAGGCCTGCAGGAAGAACTAAGTCTCTGGACACCAAAACCCAAAAGTGGTGGCTGGGCTGGATGTGAGAGCAGGACTCAAAATGGGCTCAGCAATGGGGAGGGGAGGGCAGGGAAGCCTAAGGTATGACAGGCAGAGATGACCCCTCTCCCAGCAGAGGCCCTGCATCTAGACCCCACCTGCAGAAGGCACCAACATCTCTACTTGGGCACTTCTCAGCTGACTGGGCTGTTCTTCCCAGAAGAGTTTGCCTGTTCCCTGCACACACACACACACACACACACACACACACACACATCTTCCTTTCTGGCACCTCTGATTGTAGGACAGGGTGAGGTGGTCCCCAGATTATGGCAGGTACTCTACAGATGAGCTGAGGTGGAAGAGCGCATTGCTGAGCCAGTCAGGAGGAGAGCAAGGAGAGAAAGTCAAGCACTGGTATCATCTTTGAGTCCACAAAACCAAGGCTCTCTCTGTTCAGAATCCAGTGAGGGCACTGGGCTGGAATTGAACTGGCCAGTGTCTCCAGATAATGGCTTTGCAAAAGGCTTCCTGTGACATCAGATTGACCTTCTTAGATGTGAACAAGTCATCTCTAGCTAGCGAGATACTCACCATATACATGGTAAATAACAAACATTACTTGGCTCTCATCCTCAGTGGATCCAAAAGGAGGTGAGGGAGGGGTTCTCTGTATGAAGCGGGACAGACAACCAGCTACAAAGAGGGACAGAGCCAAGCAGAAGATGCTGAAGGTCTCAGAGAACCTCTTCCAGGTACTTCTAGGAGAAGCTTAGGAAGCCAACTAATATTTCTAGCACCAAGTGCTCTACTGAGAGCCTGAGTTCCAGAGGGGAAGTCTCAGGCCTGGATGAGCACTAAAGAGCAAGCCTAGAAGAGTCCTGAGGCTTGTGTGTGTGAGGGTGTCTAGTAGTGGTGAGCATAGCCAGCACTCAACAACTCATCAACTTCTGCCACATTCTCCTCCTCCCTCCTGACATCCTACCTAGACACCTACACACCACTTCACATGCACCAAAATTAACTATCTCCCCCTTTCTAAAAGTCATTCTTAATTCTTGGTCTTAGCTTTAAAAGTAATCTAGTAGGGCTGGGAAGTTGGCTCAGTGGTAGAGTGCTTGCCTTGCATGCATGAGGCCCTGGGTTCGATTCCTCAGTACCACGTAAGCAGAAAAAAGCCAGAAGTGGCACTGTGGCTCAAGTGGTAGGGCACTAGCCTTGAGCTGAAGAGATGAGGGACAGTGCCCAGGCCCAGAGTTGAGACAAAAAGCAAAAAGTAATGCAGCAAACAATTAGCATAGTATCCAAACTACCATGTTTCTCTACTTGAAAGAATTTCTATATAAAGTGCTAAGCTGGTGCTGGTGATTCACATCTGTAATCCTAGCTACTGGGGAGGCTAAGATCTGAGAATCTCAGTTAAAAGCCAATCTGGGCAGGAAAGTCTGTGAGACTCTTATCTCCAATTAGCCAGCAAAAAAGCAGAAAGTGGAACTGTGGCTTCAATGGTCAAGTGCCAGCCTTGAGTGAAATAGCTGAGAGACAGCACCCAAGTCCTGAGTTCAAGCCCCAGTATCATACCACACACACCCAAAATAAACACAATAAAAAGTGCTGTTATGACACAGCAATTCTAGTTCCAGATTGTGTATCCAACAGAAATGCATAGCATGCTCACTAAAAATGGAACATTCCAAACTGGAAGCTACTCAAAACCCCATTAACCCAGAATAGATGCATGGGATATATCTACTGGCTCTGGGAATGAACAATCTACCACTTTGTTTAGCACTGTGAATGAGGCTCACAACGTGGAGAAAAAGAAGCCACATACTTCCTTCAGTGTGATTTCATTTATATAAAGTTTAAGAACAGACAGACCTACCCCAGGACTGCAGACATGAGGGAAAGGGCTGTTCCTGAGGCAGAAACTAGGAGGGGCCCTGAGGGCTGAGGGTTCCTGGTTTTGTTGGGTTTCTTGATCAGGTGGGGTGTGGAACACTGGATTGTGTTCACTGTGAAAACTTGCTAAGTGGTCCAGTTACTGCTGCCACTGACCAGGCTTGTCATTCTGGTTTGCCTGGAATTGTCCCCATTTTTGTATTCAAAGTCCTGTCTCTTGGGAAACTATCAATCCTGGGCAAGCTGGGGCCCTTGGCCACCTGCCCAGACTGTGGGAAGTGTCCCAGCCACCTAAATGACTGAGGAAACCAAACCCATGCCATGACCCACTCCCCAATTTCTGCCAAGGACTAACCCTTTCCCTCCCCCTCCCCCAAGTTAAAGGCAGGGCCAACAGATAATCCTTGTGTCACCACAATGGGAAGCCTGCTGCAGCAGACCACGAGGCAAGTCTCTTATGATTGGATGGGATTCAGGGTCAAATTAGGCCCTAGGGCAATAAAGTCTGGACAGAGTGAGCTGACGAAGGACAATTTCTGCAGGGCTGGGTATTTCTGACAGACTCAGAAATCTAAGTCAGCTCGTGCCAAGTCCAGGACAATTCCAAAAAGGGCAGGCCAAATGCAGGGCCCTCTGGTGGTTCCTTACCAGGTGCAGGAGAAAGGCAGTACACTTATTCATCAGCGCCCCCTACTGGAGGGTGAAGACATGGGGAGAAACAGGGAACTATGCCCTAGGCTTTGGGGAAGTGACCCTGGGCGGGTGACTCTGAAGAAATGGATCCAAAACTGGGGAAAGCTGCCCTTACAAGCCACAGCAAAAGCAAAACTCCTGAGCATGTGGAAAAGCCCCAATGTACTGCCCCCTCTATGCATGTCAAAACTTTTGCCATAGCGTTACTAAACCCACTGGGCTTCATAGTCTCTGAGAGCCTTTTCTCACCCCAGGGGCAGTCTAAGGAATTTTTCAGGATCCTCTAGTTCTCTATGAAAGTATTGAATTTCCCTTTTGGGGTGTGTGTGTGTGTGTGTGTGTGTGTGTGTGTGTGTATGCAAGTGTGTGTTTATTTTGGGGTTTAAACTCAGAGCCTTGTGCTTTCTGCCAAGTGCCCTAGTACTTAGCCCATGACCACAGTCCTTTAGCTTTTAGTTTGCTTTGCAGATACATTAAGTTTTTCAGAAAGTTTCTTGTACCTTTGTTTGGGTTAGTCTCCTACCACAGTCTTCTCACCTCTACTTTCTGAGTAGCTGGGATCACAGGCATGTACCACCACATCTGGCCTGACAAAAAATATTTTCTACTGGATGCACATGCATGTCTGCATTTTGGGGAGAATATTCCACAACTGTGTTGCCATACATGTTCATGGGCACCTTCTGGGGCTAATGATTGTCTGGCGGTCTGATGCCTTAGTGAGACCCATCAGAATGTATTCTGAAGCTTCGGTAGTCCAACTATGTCCTCAGGCCAGCATGTGGACAACCTGGATGGATCCTGTTAGACGTGTGGAATCCGGACCTGAATCAAAGCCTGCAATCTGGGGAAGTGTCTAGGAGTTTTGGAGATGTTAATATGCTTGCAAAGACATTGGTCTAGATTTGTGCTTCTCCTCATTTTCTCCAGCATTGATCATTTAAATGGCTTACACCTGTAATCCTAGCTACTAAGGAGTCTGAGATCTCAGTCCATGAGACTCTTCTCTCCAAAGCAAGATGTGGTGTTTTTTTTTTTTTTTTTTTTCCGGTGGCTGAAATGGTAGACCTTCAGCCTTGAGCAAAAAAGCCAAGTGTATGTACATGTGTGTGCATGTGTGTGCGTGCGCTGCGCACGCACGCACACACACACTTTCTACCTGATTCCCCAAGTTCTAACAATGGCATTGTTTTCTGTTGTTTGTTGGTCCCATTTATGGACCTGCCATCAAAGGTACTACTTAATACACATGTTGGAATCAGAGAGGCTGCTGGATGGGGTCCCTGCCCCAGATGGGACTACCCTCAGAAGACATGCACCTGTTCTGTCTCTCCTCTGTGAATCTGGTATACAAGTTGGGGTGCTAGGTATACAAGGAAGGGTGGCTAACCCTTCCTTCCCTGACCAAGAGCCCTCGCTGTCCAACAGTAGGGACAATGAAGCACCCAACATGGGGATTTGGGTGTGTGTTCCCATACGTGGCTTCAAAAGTATGATGTAGGGCACAGACACCCTGAGGGCAGGGATGGGACCGTCTGGGAGACTGTGACCCTTCTCCCTGGGGCAGGCTCCCGTGGTGACTTGCCAGGGGGCTTCATTCCCCCTCCCCAGGTGCCCCAGGACTCACAGGATATAGCAGATGACCCCGATGCTCCACATGTCCGTGGCGTAGCTAATGGGTTCGTAGTTGATCACTTCAGGAGCCACAAACTCTGGAGTACCAAAAAGGACCTTCAGAGACCCTGCATTTTCTGAAATCAAGATGGAGAGATGTCAGTGGCCATTCCATCATAGAGCCAGTTCAAGGGAAGCGTTTCTGCTCTGGTCTGTGTCCTGGTCCCTGAGTCAGAGGTACATGGAGAAGAGCTCACTGGGTCTTTTGGCTGCTCTCTCCATAGATGATGGCTGAGACACTTGACATCCTTGTATGTAAGCACATCAACCACCAGGGAAGCCAGCAAGCCACACATGTGCTTCAAGTGTCCTAAGCAGGGTGAGGAGAGGAGGAGGCCAGGGAAGTGCCTGCCCTGGTGCTCTTCTGCTTGTCAGTCTCCCCGAACTAGCTCACAGCGGCAGGGCTAGTGACTCCTGTTCAGCAATCCCTCATGCTCACTGATTCTAGCACTCACATGGCCTGTGTACCTGTCACCAGCTTTCCGAGGGTTTTCCTCTTTGCTATACTCAGCAATTCTAAGAGGTAGGCGCAGTGCCCAGGTTGCTGAGGACAAAAGCAAGATCTGGGGAAGCAAGGAAATTTCCTATCTGCTTCACCAGTGATGATCAGGGCTTGAACCCAAGTGGTTCTGTCACAGAGCCAGCCTCCTTTCTCCTTTCTCTGTATTTAGCCTAAGCTCATGTCTTTCCTGCTCCCACGTACTGCCAGGATAGCAGGGGCAGGCCTAAACCCTAATGTGGGATGCTCAGTGGTGCATGTCAGCCCTAAGAACCAGGACTAATGAGCAGGCCCATTGCGTGATAAGGGCAGTATCTGTAGCTGGAGGATGGAGCAGGAGTGCACACATGCGTATGTGCGTGCGGGTGTACGCGCGCGTGCGCGCGCGCGTGTGTGTGTGTGTATACGTGCCCACGTATCTGGGGAGTGGGAGTGAGGGAGAAGGACAAGCTTGGGCCTGGAGCCACATCTGGTCTCGTTTAACTCTGCAGGGACTATAGAAACTACTCTTACAGCCCTAGCAGCCCTCACAGCATGGAGCTAGCACTCCCTCCCCCTACTCATTCCGTTTGTGGTGGTTACTCTCCATAGACAGGCATCCACACCTGTAGCAGAGAGATGGAGCCAGTTAAGTTAACCTAGAACTATCCTTCTTTTCTCAGGGTGGTGATATAAAGGGTGGCTCTGTAATTTCATGTTAACAGGGGAGTGGCCAGGCCAGGGAGTGACCAGTGATACCAGAAAGTGATGAGTAGATGCAGAGGACCTTGTATGTGAGCACACAGTCAGTGGCCAGAATGGCTTCAGGTTGGTGATGAGGTTCTAATCACTTTCCCCATTACTATATTTCCTTCCTCCTCAATGTGTGAATGGTACAGGGGCTCTGGAACACCCTGAGCTAGGCATGGGGTCTTTAAGCCAGCCCTGCATACTCCCTGGCTTGCATATAGTATCTTCTGGGCAAAACTGTGGTAAACCTTGGAATCCTACTCTACAAATTGAGATGCAGAAATCCTATATGTACTGCTGACCTTCAGTGAGCATCAATGATAGTGATAGTGTTTTTTTTTTAATATTTTACTTATTTTTACTTTTTGGTGGTACTGGGGTTTTGAAGTCATGACCTTGTATTTGTTAGGCAAGCACTCTACTACTTGAGCCACACCCACAGTCCTTTTTGCTTTAGTTACATTTCAGATAGGATCTTTTACTCTTTGTCTGGGCTGGTGTCAGACTATATAATCCTCCTCTTTCTCCCACCTCCTGTGTAACTGGGATTACAGGTGTATACCACTATACCTGGTTTATTTATTTTTTTCTGGTGCCAGTCCTGGGACTTGAACTCAAGTCCTGGGAACTGTTTCTGAGCTCAAGGCTAGCACTCTACCACTTGAGCTTCAGCTCTTCTTCTGGCTTTTTTTTTTTTTTTGTGTGTGTGGTTATTTGGAGATAAGAGTCTCATGTTTTTTCCTACCCAGGCTGGATTCTAATGACAATCCTCAGATCTTAGCCTCCTGAGTAGCTAGGAATGAGCCACTAGTGCCTAAGCTGGCTGGTTTTTGAAATAGGATATTAACTTTTTTTTTGGCTGGGGCTGGCCTTGAACTAATGGCCTCAGCAGCAGCAGCACCACACAATACATAGCTAGTGTCTGTGTCATGCTTTCTGTTCATAAGGCATTGCTATCACCCTACCTCTCTTGCTCTTGGTCCTCCTGAGAACCCTATGGGACTTTGTAGCAGGAGGGATTGCTATTAACCATCTTACAGATGAGGAAGTTGAGTCTTATAGTCATATAGCAATAAGTGGCAGGTGCTACACTTGAACCTGAACAGTTTTTGCAGTCTCTGACTTTGCTCCCAACCCCATCCATTCTCTCTACTACCTAGTGTGGGAACATAAACAGCCATTGCCCTAGCACAGCAGTGACCCCAGGACAGATAGTTGTCCTTACCCAGCCTTCGGGCTAAGCCGAAGTCAATGAGCTTGATCCTGGTGCCCGTCTTGTTGACACACATGATGTTCTCTGGCTTGAGGTCCAGGTGCACGATGCCCTGCTTGTGGATATACTCCACTCCTTCAGAGATCTGCTTCATGTACTTGATGCACTCCCGCTCCGTCAGCTCAAAGTCCTCATCAATGATGCGCTCAAACAGCTCACCCCCTGACACACTGCGGGGACAAAAGGAGGTGGGAAGAACACTGTGAGAAGACCAGCCTGGGGCCAGGCTGGTAGAGTGGTTGGCCCAGGAATACTGGGGAAGGGGTAGAAGCACCCTGCGACGCTTCCTGAGTGCCTGTCTTCTGGTACGGGGAACCATGTCCCACGTCTGCCATGCTGCTGGGGACTTGGGAAAGTGTCTGAAATCAGGGAAGCTCTCAGGAAGGCAGTGTCAGAGGTTGGTGTGAGTGGAGAATCTGGGCATTATCTCCTCAGCAAATGGTGACCATGAAATAGGCTCTTTCCCTTATATGATCAAAAATGTACAGGGGAACATTCCTGTATCCTAGCAGTATCCTTGAGTCACAGAGAACTGACGTTTAAAACAGTTTATATGAGCGTCTAGTTTGCATAAGCCTGCGACAGAAAAAAAACGATCTTCAATAATAAGAAACCTCAGCAAAATTTCTGGAATTAGTTGGCTGTGACCCACTGAACTGACACTAGATTTGCTGACTGCAGCAAATTAGTTTACTCCCTCCAGCCATGACTATCTTGTCTTGCCATGACGCCTTCCCTGCCCAACCTGGAGGCATAGACCTTTCTATGGAACACTGTTTTTAGATTCCAGCCACTCCCAATCCAAGCTGCTGACTTCTGGAACCCACACCTGGGGGTCCTCTACTAACAACTGCCAGACAGCCAGTGCATCACCCTTCAGTACAAATGCATGACCTTGCTGCCCAGGCCCCATCTCAGCTCAGGTCTCTTGTCCCAGTCCTCTTCCCACCTTCCTAGCTCACTCATGGTGAATTTGAAGTGTGTGCTTGGTAGCCTAAGTAGCATCCACATATTTTTTGTTTTGTTTTGTTTTGCCAGTCATGGTGCCTGAACTCTGGGCCTGAGCACTGTCTCTCAACTCTTCAGCTCAAGGCTAGTAGTGCTCTACCCCTTGAGCCACAGCACCACCTCTAGCTTTTTCTGCTTATGTGGTGCTGAGGAATCGAACCCAGGGCCTCATGCATGCAAGGCAAGCACTCTACCACTGAGCCACCTTCCCAGCCCAGAATCCACATATTTTAAACTGAATTTTTTCCAGTAGCCTCTAGATGAAGACTGAGTGCACTTCATTCTGGGATGGTCTTTTTTTTTAAGGGCTGAGACCAGGACTTGGACTCGATAATTGATGCTTTTGCTCTCTGGCTGGTGCTCTAAAAAACGAAGCCACACCTCCAAGCCCCTGGGATGGTCCTAATACAAGGATAGGTGTCACTACTCTTATGGGGAGTCATTGTGAAGACAGCAAGGCATGGAATTTGAGTCCTGTTCCTGCCTTTTACAGGCTTCATGACCTCAGGCAAGTTAATCTTCCTGAGCCCTAACTGCTAGGATGCAGAGTGCTTAGGAATATAGGAGCCTTTGTAAAGTCATGCCTAACTCATCAAAAGTGCTCAGAACATATTATTTGGTATCATATGGCAGGCCAGAGAATCTCACTCACTGGGAGACATAGACAGGGATGACCAACAGAGCCTAGCACACCACATCTTATCCATTTGCAAGACCACAGGACCCTGTTGGAAAGTGATGGGAGGAAAGCGTGTGTGTGTGTGTGTGTGTGTGTGTGTGTGTGTGTGTGTGTGTGTGTGTGTGTGTGTGTGTGTGTGTGTGTGTGTGTGTGTGTACAAGTGGCCACTAGGAGGAGCTAAAACTTTCAACTAATCCAAGAAGGTCCTGGCATGGCCAGCAGGTGGCACCTTTTGCCTTGAAGCCCTCAGTTTCTCGGCCAAGGCTCCAAGGACAAATACCAATCTACACTGTAAAGATTTGGCCAGTTCTTAACAGCTCTCTGCTTCAATTTTTTCATCTGCAAGCTGTAGATGAAAAGAACACCACCTCACACAGATGTTACAAAGATGGAATGAGTTAACACGAGTGCTCAGAAGGGAGAAGTAAGCGCATGCTAATTATCAACTGTTACATTTTCAAAGAATTGCTTGGGCTCTTATTGGAAATATGGTTTTCCAAGCTTTTCCCCTGTAGATATGACTTTGTAAAATCTTGGGAGAGATCCGAAGACCTGAATTTTTAAGAGGTTTCCCAGGTCACTCTTAGGGGCAGACATATTTAGGAATACTGCCTTATTCCATTTCCACTAAGAGGAGGAGCTGAAATTCACATCTCGGGAGAAATTTCTTCCTAGTTTCCCCATATGAAATGATTTGCCCTTTCGATATACCTTTTCTACACTTGTTGTATTGAGTCTTCCTTGTTTGCTTGTCAAACAAACCTGGCTGTTCTCCAGACTTTCATTTGTACCTAGAAATATCTGGCATAGACAAGGTGCTCCAAAATGATTGCTTTTAAAGTTAAAATAATTCAGCACAAGCAAGCATGATTTTCAGTGTCCTTGGGAGTGTCTGAGCAACCAGTCATAGATATTAGAACTATAGAGATAATTATTGTTGCATATCTAGAGATAATTTACTCAATGTCAGTTCAGATAGGTTCTGGTCTAGTCAACTATATTTAAAACTGTTGGAAACTGTTCCAGTGATCTACTGCCTAGGATGGGAAGAGTTAAATCAGGATTAATGGCTTGTGCGTTTTTCTTCAAAATGCTCAGGAAAATGGGTAGAAGATGTTGGTTTGATAGAAAGAAGCCAGCCAAAATTGGCAATAGAAAGCTGATAAATACTTAGTCACTTAATAAATTGATTGTGAGTGAATGAATACATGAATGAATTTCTACCATCACCAATGCTACCTATTCAGAGGGACTGTAGGCCTCAGCTAGCCCTTCCCAGATCCTCTTCCTGTCTTACAGCAGCCAGCTGGATACTTAGATGGATTTTGCTGGGAGAAGAGCAAGTGTGAGGCCAGCCTGCAGTGGCTCAGCTGAAACTTCACATCCTCTCCAGCATTCAGGGTCCCACCACAACTTAGAGTGTCCTAGATAGTTCCACAGAGGACAAGCCCAGGCCTCAGGCAAAAGGCCAGAAGATCCTGGGCTTCTCAGCAACTCTGCAGCACAGTAGGGGCTGGTCTAGAAACCAGAAATCAGAAAGGCTGAAAAGACACACCCATTCTTATTTCCCATATTATCTCAGGCAGCTGAGCAGAAGCTAGGAACCCTCAATTACATGTTAATTTTTCTATATGAGCAGGCATCACCCTTTTCTTCATCTCAGTTCCTTTATCAAACAAGGAAGGCAAATTGTATTATTGACCGTCAGCCTTCTTCCTATTTGTGGCTAAGTCTTAGATTAAAGCTAAAGGGACATAGAAATGGGGTTTGAGCTTCTTTTCTCTTCTCTGGTTCAATGATTGTCCAGGGGTGAGCTCCAGACCCTGAGTGCAGGCAAATCTTCTGGCATCTGGACTTGTGAGACTTGTTCCTGTCCATGGGGGAGGAGTGGGGTGGAGGGATGAAAGCCAGACCAGCTGAAACCTCCTTACATTTCTCTCTACTTTTTCCATCCAGCTTGCCAACTCTTGATTCCAAGCTAAGTATGGTATTCTGCCCACTAGTGCTGCTACCCAGGCTCAGCTCCCCCTGCCCCCTCTCACGAACTTGCCCAAGGTTTAACTTCTAAAGATAAGACATTTCTCCACATGTCCTCACATGCCCACACTGCCTGGACCAAGCAACCAGCTCTAGAACGAATAGAAAAGCTGCAGCCCAGAGATGGTGGAACATGCCTAATCCCCAGCTATTTAGGAGGCTAAGACAGGAGGATTGCAAGTTCAATGCCCGTCTGGGAAAACTTAAATAAGACCTTGTTTCAAAATAAAGTAACAAAAAGGGCTGGGGATGTTGGCTCAGTGGTAATACCTTACTAGGTTAAATACCTAGTACCATACAAGTAAGAGAGAGAGAGGAGAGGAGAGGAGAGACGGGGAGAGAGAGAGAGAGAGAGAGAGAGAGAGAGAGAGAGAGAGAGAGAGAGAGAGGAGGAGAAGGGAGGGGAGGGGAAAAGAGGAAAGCAGGGGAGAGGAGAGGACAGAGGACTTCAGCCTAATGGGATTTTGGTAGGCTGTGATGAATGAGATCACAGACAGTGGCTCAGAACTTCTTGAAAGTGGTTAGTAGGGTATGGAATTTGAGTTGAAGCATGAGATACAAATGAAGATTTTTTTTTCCCGAATCTTTTTATCATTCTGTAGAATAGAATACTTTGGGAGGACTTAGACGGATGTTAAAATGCTCACAAAATGCTTTTAAGTGGAAAAAGGACCAGGGTACAGAAAAAGTCAGTGTGTGCTATGGCGAATAGACCCCCACAACAGAGCACTGTGCCTATCAGCCTTGGGAGCATTCAGGAAGGGGCCTGAACACCCTCTTTTGTGGATAGTAAAAATGAAGATTGGCAGAGTTGAGTAACTTATTCAAGGTCAAAAAACAAGTCAGAGGTGGGGTTGGGATCTGAAGTTAAGAGTTATCTGATTCACATCCGTGCTCTCAAGCCATTTTTGCCTGTTCTAAAATAGACATTCTGAACAGAATGTCTTCAAACACAACTTCAGTGAGGAGAGAGGGAAGGGGACCATTCTATTTGTCATGCCTCATCTTCTCTGGGGCAGAATGCCCACAAGCTGATGGGTCTTTTCCAATGGACTGAGATCCCAAAGTTCAAGGCATGCAGTGAATATACCCATTCAAGTGAACATACCCAACCTGGTGCTCCTTCACTGCTGGATATTACAGGCCTGAGCAAAAAGATGTATACATGGTATAAATAATGCTTGCAAAAACTAAAGACTGGAGATCATCTGACTACTTGCTAAGCAGATAGTCTAAATGCTGTGTGATATACCTATCAAGTGAGATCCTGTGGGGGTACTGGCTATTACAGGGATTTGCTGAAAAGGGCAAAAGCGTCGTTGTAAGTACTATACATTACCTTTGTGTTAAAAGGCAGGAAATGGAAAGCATCTATATTCATATATGCTTGCATTTTCATAATGAAGCCTCAGAAGAACACATACAAAACCAACAAAACTGTTTCCGTCTGGAAGCGGTGCTTTAACTTGCAGAGAAATGGAATTGATGGTGAGTAATACTGTATATTTTCTTGTAATTATTTGGTGTGATTATGTATATTCAAAATTCAGATTAAAAAAGGGAAAATGCAGATGTAGATGTTGTGAAAGAAACCTGGTATCAGTGTGTATTTATATATATGTGTGTGTGTGTGTGCTGTGTGTGTGTGCATGCACACGCATGTATGCAGGTGTGCACAAGTGAGGAAGGACTGGGAGGTAAAGGAAATGAAGGATTCTGGGAAAATCTTGTCTGGAGGTCATCTGATCCATTCCCTTGCCTCTGCATAAACCCCACAGAGAAAGTGCAACTCTGATAAGTGAGAAGTCAAAGAGCACAAACAACGGAAGAATGGCAAAGGTACAGCGGCAGGTTCTACTCCTGGATTCTGAGCCCTTCTTTCTTCCAGAGAAATCAGACAGTTACCTGACCTTTCTTTTCCAGTTTGAGCCACCTGAACGTGAGAATGCCCCCACATGAAACCTAGAAACCAGGGACAGCTTTGCCCTTACATACACAGGAAGATGCGAGAGGAAAGGACACAGGGGTCCTAGAGGAGCCCCAGCTATGGAAATGCGCTCCGAGCTGCAGATGGGGCTGCAGTTCTCTTCTCACTGGCCAGGTCTGGCATAGGCTCATCATATCCCTGTGTGTAGTGTGTTCTATCTTGGGGCATAGGAGGCTGGAGAAGGACAGTGTGGGGGACACAGGCAGGGACTTGTGGGCTCCCAGTGCCACTCACATCTCTAGGACCATGACGATGTTGGCCTTTTCCTCGAAGGCATCCACACACTGGACTAGCTTGGGATGGTGGAGGCAGTTCATGATGCCAATCTCCTGCCGAATGTTCTCTTTTTCTTTTGCTGAATATGCCTTGAAGAATTTCCCTGCCCAGATTTTTCCAGTTTTCTTCTCTACAAGTCGAAAGACTTGTCCAAATTTTCCACTGCACACAAAGAGGGAGGAGAAAAAGAAATCACATTTTGCTAAGCTTTGTATTAAAGTGGCCCATCTCTTTTTGGCTTAAGGTTTTTTGTTTTTGGAACCCAGCCATATCAGCTACCATGCAGGGACACAGATCACAGAGCCACAGTGTAACCCTCTGGCCCTTTGTGGAAAAGTTTACTGACCCCTGCCGTAGATGAAGAGCACTTCCATGCAAAGAGACCCCTGAGGTAAGTTGAGGTTATTCTCAAATACAGAATTACCGAGTGGCTGCCTTCCTTCCCTTCCACTCCCACATGGATGCTTTGGGGACTGCCCAGATTGGACACGATTCTTCTCGGGAGCAGGAGGCTCCTCTGGGACATAATTATAGTGACAAGGTGATTCCCAGGGCTGCTAAGAATTCTGTATGCCTTTGTTTCCCTGAGCCCCATCCTCTTTTTTTCGTCCTCTTGTATTCTTTCAGGGAGTGAGAGATGGGGAAGATGGATACTTGGTGGGGTGAGCTGCAGGTGCCCTCCATTCCCCTGGGCAGTGCCAGTCAACAGTGATGAGCATGTTCATCCTGTGAGGACCGCTGTGTGTGTTAATGAAGCCCCAAACCTGGCACTGCTGGACAGCAAGGACGTGATAACTTCTTTTTGATTAAAATTTTTTTTTTTGCCAGTCCTGGGGTTTGAACTCAGGGCCTGGGCACTGTCCCTGAACTTCTTTTGCTCAAGATTAGCACTCTACCACTTGAGGCACAGCACCACTTCTGGCTTTTTCTGTTTATGTGGTACTGAGGAATCAAACCGAGGGCTTCATACGTGCTAGGCAAGCACTCTATAAGCCACATTCCCAACCTGATTTAAAAAAATTAAATTAACTGTACAGAATAATGGGCTTCATTATGACATCTCCATACATACATAGCATGGACTTAGATCATATTCACTTTCCCTTCCTCATTCCTCTCCTTCCTCCTACTGGAGGCTTAACTGCTTGTGTGGATCAAGTGGAAGGCAATGTAAAGAGAAGCTGATCTAGACCCTGTCTTCCCATTTCAGTGTTGTACTATGCACCAAGGCACAAAAAAGGAAGACCTTGTGCAAGGTTCCTGGAGAGCTGGCCTGTGGAAAACCACAAAGAAACAACTCCAGAGAGAACCTACAGTGGAGATGCATTCATGGGTCCATCCCTCAGCAATCCACAGAAGCTCAGCCTAGGAGGAAGCTGAGCCTGGGAAAAGACAGGAAGAGGCACTGGGTTTAATTATGACATCTGTGCACCCCCCCACCCCGCTCCCCATGCCCAGAGACAGCATTCCACTCCACTTACGATCCTAGTCTCTCTTCAATGTCGTAGAAGTCAGACACTTTTTGTTCAGTATTGACTGTCACTGTCCGGTAATCGACCTCAGGCTCTTTCTCATCTACAGAGCACAGGTCAAGGTGATGGTGAGTGATCAGATCCCCATGATCATCCCCTTCCATCCAAGAGCCTGTCCCATGGATAGGTGTGTGCACTTACCATCATCTGACACCTCCACTTCATCCTTTGGCTCTGAGGGAGACAAGGGGGTAGGGAGGAAGGATGCAGTGGTTAGAACACAAGGCCCTTGAAAGCAAGGGCTTTCCTGGGTATCAGCTCACCTAGGCAGCCTTTGGGATTGGTCAGGATAACCTGTAAACAGGGTCACCGGCAGACTACCAGGCTCTGGCTTCCTCATTCCAGCCAGCTCCATTCCTCTTCCAGTCCTCATCTCCACTCCTTCCCATCTCACCCCATGGTCCCCACACATGTCCTCCTCCATGTCTCTTCTAGTCCCTCTGGACTTTCAAAACCTACACACAGTTGTAGCAATCCCTTTCTGCCCTGCCTTGAAGGTCAGTGACTCAAAATTGCTTTCTAGGTCAAACCCAGTTACCAGTTGTTGAGCATTTGGTATAAAATGACAGCAGTGTGGCAAACATCTTGCCCATTAGGTGGGCATAAAAAACAAAACACATACAAGGCAGGGTCTCACCTTCTTTCTTGAAGCTTATAATTTCATTGGAAAGGAAAAAACAGCTATACTTGATATACTTGGTAATGGAGCACGTACCATCACAAACAGGCAAAGGGAGGAAGGCATTGTCAAAGCAGGCAAGAAAACATCAGAGTGAATATTGTCAGAAGAAACAGCCCTTGATCTGGGTCTTCAGGAGATGATGGGATACATGGAAGGGTTAGTGACGCACAGATAAAGCCAGCAAGTCCCTCCATGAGGAGGGACGGATCCCCATGATCAGGATGGATCTGGTGAACCTCGCCATTTGTCAGGAGTGATGGGAGAACAACCTCAACTTTCCACCATCTTGATGGAAGTCTGACCCTCAATAACAGAGCTGCTCTGGCTTCTCAGCCTTGGCTAAGTGCCTTTCCCTTTCTGGGCCTCAGTTTCCTTGTGTGCTAGAGGAAGTTGAATGGTGTCTTTCAGGTGTCTAAGCTAGCACTGCCTAGATGCAGTGTTGTAAGATTGATTCATTGGGCTCCTCAGCCATGGATTGGGCCATGTTCTAGCTAATCATCAAAGGAGGATTCCTGTGGGAAAAGAGCAAGCATGTGACAGAAATCAGAGAGAAGAAAAGATCACTGAAGTATGTTTGAGTATAAGTGAATGTGTGTGTGTAATAGTGTGGATGTGTGTGAGTGTGATTGTGAGTGGGTGTGAATGTGGGGGAGGAGTGTGAGTGTAACAATGTGTGGCTATGAAAAACAGCATGGGAATGTGATTGTGAGCATGTGACTATGTGTGTGTATCCCAGGGATGTGTGAAAATGTGCAAGAGAATAAGAATGAGATGGGAAAAGACTTTCTTTGTGGAAGGAAGACCCAGCACAGCAAGACTGGAAGACAAAGGATAGCTGGCAGGTGAGCATGTCCTATGAGGGGACAGCGTGCGGGGACAGTGATGGTCACACGCTGCGAGGCTCTCAGAGCCTCAGGTCTGTTCTAGGATGGAGGTGTGGGATGGGGAGGAGGTGCAACTGGACCTGTGGACAAGCAAGCCCATCTGTCAGGCTGAGGAAACACTGGAACCTAAGCAGACAGAGAAAAAGTAACCTGATCCCACACAGGCTAAGTGCCTCTTGGTGAAAAAGAGTTCTGAGAGTTTATGAGCATGAAACCAGAAGCTGTGATCTGTTTAGAGTTCTTCAAATGCTGCTGACGAAGTTTAGTTTTAGAAAACTAAACAGAGAGGACTGGGAAGAATCACAGAAAGGAAGCTGCCATGAAATCAAAAGAGGAGGAGACAGACAAGGACTTGAGGTCTTGCTGTGAAATAGCGGGGGTGGGGCTTCCTAGGTTGCCAGGATGTTGGTCTAAATAGTGTTACCAAGCCCATGCTTCAGGGCATCAAGTGATGAGTTAAACTCCTCAATGACTAGGTTGACTTGAGAGTCATGTGTCTGGATGCTGTAGCAAAGTCAATGTTTAGGGAGATTAGAGATGTTCTGCCCTGTGTATGGCACCCTGTACTATACTACACAGTGAAATCCACGCTGCTCTGGATGGCAGAGCACTGTCATCAGGAACAATAAGTACAATTATTTTGTGGCCTATGGCAGAGCCTTGGACATCTCTGCTGTGGAGACTCTGGCAGCTGGTGGTTTGAAGGTTTTGATGGGTCTATGGAAGGTCACTGGAAGCAAATGCTACCATGGCAAGACTTATCAAGAAATGTTAGGTGTTTCCAGTTGGGAATTCTGGAATGACACGATTGAAAAGGAAACCACACAATTGACAATGGTAGTAACAGGGCTATGAACTGTTTGTTCATCAGCTCACGAAAACTGTGACTCCAGGGACCATTTGCAAAAGCCTCACAGGGAGGAAGGCTTTAGGCCTATGGAAGTCATAGCCACAGGTTCCACACGGGGCCCATAGGCACACGAGGGGCAGGGATGTTCTGATTAGTTCAATAGTAATATTTCAAGCATGGTTTTACAGAACATAGGAGATTCAATTCCAGTGTTCACTGAATGACTGGTGGATGCCAGTCCCCAGTCCAGGTCTTAGAGACAAAGCAGCAACTGTGCTGACCTCCACGTGCCTGTTCTGAGACAGAGGTTCTGGTTTGCAGGTGCCTTTTCATTTGTCCCCTTGCCACATCTCCTTGGTATAGTAAGAGGACCAGAGGGTTCTAAGAAGCAGGCTTTCCCGGCCTGTTGTTTCGGGGTGGGGGTGCAGTTTGTGCTCTGCTAGTGACAAGAGTGGCACAGAGCTGTAAGCCACGAGGGTCTTTTCACTCACTTGGCACCAGGCATTTTCCGGGCCAGCCTTAGAGAGGTCCCACTTCCAGAGCTGACTTCTCCCCACCACTCTGACTTCAGCGAGGCAACCACAGAGCTGGCCTGGCCTCCCTCAGGAATGCCACACCAGCCCTTACCTTTGCCTCTCCCATGCGCTAGTTGGAGTACCAAACTCCTCTCCTTAGGGACTGGAGGCTCACTGTTCAGTGTAGCCTTACCGTTGGGCATGCACAAGACCTCAGGCTTCTGGGTCTCTGTTTCCCTTCTCATCCTGCTCTGCTCTGTTGGACAGGCAAGATGTCCAGAGCAGAAGGATAGGAAGAGAGTGAGGGAGAGTGACCACAGATCACTGGACATCAAGTGCCATGAACATGACAAAGGGGACCACTTAGTTCTCTTCTTGCCACTGCTAAGGAAGGAGCTCAAATGGCAGAGAAAAAGAACTTCTGCTAAAATCATTTTAACCTATTCAGAATGAGTTATGAGATCCGAGGGCTAAGTGGAAGAGCCATTTGGCAAAGGGTCTTGAGGTATTTCTGCCAACAGATGAGAGTCCTATCACCCTGGGATGTGCTGAGGATCAGTGAAGAGAATCAGCTGAGCGGTGGGACTGGCCACCACTCCTCCAGGCACACTGGCCTTTTCTGTAGCAGAAGAGTGCTGTATGGATTCCCAGTGGACACTAGAGGGCAGCCTGGCCCTTGGATACAGCCTCTGAAAGCCTAGCAGAGTTGTAGCCTGGGATAAGACCACCCCAGACTGTACAGCCCGTGGGTTGCACGAGGGGGACTGGGCAAGAAGCCTTCACTATAGCTGTTTTGTTGATAACTACTGTAGCCTAGGAAAAAGTAGGATCGGGAGCAAACATGAAGAAGTTAAAAAGCCAGAACAAAATGTGGGTGAGAGCCCCCACCATTTTATCCTGTGCCCAGAGCTCTGTTCACTTGGGCTTGCGGAGCTGGATGGGGAGTTGTCAGGCTAGGTGTCGCTCTGGAGTAGAGAAGCCCCTGGAGCTAATGGGAAGCCTACTTGGTCCTCCATTGAGTCCCCAATGCCCTGGAATACAGTAGGACTGCACAACACCTAGGATGAATGAATGGGGTAAGAGCTGAGGTATAAATGAAGGATGGAACTGAGAATCGGGATGAAGTAGAAAACTGAAGTTGTCAAGGTGAGGGGCAGGAGGAGGAGTGGTATGGTGTGAATGTTAGAGGGGTACTCACTGAGCTTTGTGGAACAAGAATTGATTGGCTCTGCTTTTGCTATGGTCACCATAGCTCACTGTTCTCCTGCTCTAGCCCATCTCTAAGCCACCCCTCCCTCAGTCTCTGAAAGTTATTCTGTTCAGAAGTAGAGAGAGAGGCAGGTGGCTATCTTGCTTGGTATTCACAGGCATCACAGCAGTGCACAGAAGGTTTCTGCTTGCAATCCCAACCCTTAACCTGTCTCAACTTCTGCTTGTCAGGCCTAAAGCTTGCCAATGCTTTCTCTTTCTTGGATCTCCAGCTGGGCCTGGGATGAGACCGCTTCCTGTCTGAAAGCCTTGGGTGGCCTGGACCCCTCCTTTGGATTTCAGGCAATTTCACCATTTCCTTTTTGTCTGCTGTAGGAGAAGGGCTGGAGGTGGTCGGGGGTGGGGGTGGGTAACATAAGACTTCCTGCTGTGAAGTTCAAGGGCAAGGCCACCTGCCTGTCAACACTCCTGGCCTCTTGGGTTCATCCCATAGACCTGGGAGCTGCTGCCCTGGCCTGCTGGGGGCCATGGCTGTTTGCAGCTCTTGTGGCCTAATCCTGCATGCAACAAGTTTTCAAGATTCCCATTTCAAGAGAAAAATGTGAGTATGATGGCATGTGCCTGTCATCCCAGCATAAATAGGGGATCGGAGTACATGCGTAGTGTAAAATCTTATTTCAAAAATAATCCAGACCAAAAAAGGCCAGTTATGGTTCAAGCAGTAGAGTGCCTGCCTAGCAAGCATGAAACCCAGAGTTTAAACCCCAGACTGCCAAAAACATTTTTAAAAAATACTTGTTTTATATCTAGTTTTTAAAACTCAAGAGGGCTATCAAGTCATAAAGAGTTAGTTTCATACTTGTGATGCTTCTAGTTACATGGTGATTCCAGAACAGATCCCTCCAAGCTCCTCTGATGCTTTAGTCTCCCACAATGATCTCTGCTTCCCATCTGTAGGCTCTTTCTCTTTAGGAACATTGGCCTTTTGCCCTCCACTCCCATTCCATTCCATTAGAAACTAGATCTAGTTTCCATCATAGGAGGGATATGAATGACTTCCTTTCCAGCCAATGAACACTTCTCAGTACATCAAACATTTCTCTCTCTCTCTCTCTCTCTCTGTTCCATTCCTGATGTTTGAACTCAGAACCTTGGAGCTCTCTCTGAGCTTTATCTGCTCAGGGCTAATGCTCTACCATTTGAGTCTCAGCTCACTTCTGCCCTTTTTTCAGTGGGTTATTGGAAATAGTAGTCTCATGGACTTTTCTGTCTTTTCAGGTTTCATCTCCTGAATAGCTAGAATTACAGGTGTGAATTACCTGTGCTCAGCTCATTTCTGTCTTATGATGTACCCATTTCCTGTTCTTGAAATAGCATTCCACACACCTGAGCATCCTTTAACCAGGGCAACCTGTGGATTTGAGTTCACAGATCATTACCAAGCAAAGGGCTGGAACCAAAGATCCTCTAACCCCTCACACCTTTCATCTTTTTTATTTTTATTTTGTTGGTCATAGGCTTGAACTCTGTGCTCTTCAGCTCAAGGCGAGCGCTCTACCGCTTGAGCTACAGTGCCACCTCTGGTTTTCTAGTGTTTTATTGGAGATAAGAGTCTCACGGACTTTCCTCCCGGGCTGGCTTTGAACCTCGATCCTCAGATATCAGCCTCCCGAGTAGCTAGGATTACAGGCCTGAGCCACCGGCACCCGGCCTACACCTTTCATCTTGATGCAGTTCAGTGAGCTCACTGAGAAACCTGCTTCTTCTCCTGAATCTTCAATGGACTCTAGCCTTCTTGCTATCCTTTCTTTTGGCTCCTCAGTGTTCTTCTGGCTCCTGGTGTTGGTGCTGATATTCTTTTTTTTCTTTTTTGTTGGTCATGGGGCTTGAACTCTGGGCTTGGGCGCTGTCCCTGTACTCTTCAACTCAAGGTGAGCACTCTACCACTGCTTGAGCCACAGCACCACTTCTGGTTTTCTCGTGGTTAACTGGAGATAGGAGTTTCATGGACTTTCCTGCCCGGGCTGGCTTTGAACCATGATCCTCAGATCTCAGCCTCCTGAGTAGCTAGGATTGCAGGTGTGAGCCACCGGTGCCCAGCTGTTGTTGATATTCTTTACCACCCTCTGGATGACCTCTTCGATATCCATGGCATTAAGAACTTCACTACTTATTCTGAAGCTGTAGCTTAACCTTTCTTCTTGAGCTTGGGACTCAAATGACCTTAAAATACTATAGCTAGCTGGGTGCTGGTGGCTTACACCTGTAATCCTAGCTAATCAGGAGGCTGGATTCTGAGGATTAGGGTTCAAAGCCAGCCAGGACAGGAAAGTTGGTGAGATTCTTATCTCCAGTTAACGACCAGAAAACCAAAACTAGAGTTATGGCTCGAAGTGATAGAGTGCTAGCCTTGAGCAAAGATCTCAGGGACAGAGCCCAAACCCCACGTTCAAGCCCCATAACTGACAAAAAGAAAAAAAAAGATACTACAGCTCAACTGTTCTGAAACTAGAGCCTCCATCTCTTCCTATACCTCTGTTGTCTGACTCCCAAGTCATTTAAGTAAGGAACTAGAGGCAGCTCATAGTATGCCTGACCGTTTCCCTCAATCTGACACAGGAGCACAGGCTTCAGGCCAGGCAACTCTGAGTTCAAGCTTCCACTCACCATTTCCCAGCTCTGTGAGGTTTCTCCCCTTTAAATCTCCTTTCCTCTGTCTGTAAGATGAGGGTGATAACTGTGTCTGTTTCATTAAGTTATCAGGGCTGAGTGAAATGGTGCATAGTAAGCAATTAACATATTAGTAACATATCATTAACATATGGAAGGTGCTCAATGTATGCTAGCCACAATGACTCACAATAAATCTCCAACTAGCTCTTGAATTTGCTAAGCCAGGAACTGGGAGTCATCTTAGACACTTGCAACTTTTTTTTTGGTTGGTTATGGGGCTTGAACTCTGGGCTTGGGTGCTGTCTCTGAGCTCTTCAGCTCAAGGCGAGCACTCTACCACTTGAGCTACAGCGCCACTTCCGGTTTTCTAGTGCTTTATTGGAGATAGGAGTCTCACGGATGTTCCTGCTCCGGCTGGCTTTGAACGGAGATCCTCAGATATCAGCCTTCTGAGTAGCTAGGATTACAGGCGTGAGCCACCGGCACCTGGCTCAACTTTTTTTAAAAACCTGACTGCCAGTGGCTCATGCCTGTACTCCTAGCTACATAGTAGACTGTGATTATGGTTCAAAGCCAGCCTAGGCAGGAAAGTCTGTGAGATTCTATTTCCAATTAACCAGACAAAAAGCTGGACTAGCAGTATGACTCAAGTGGTAGAGCATCAGCTTGAGCTAAAAAGCAGATCAAGAGTAGAAGACCCTGAGTTCAAGTTCTCATACTTGTACTTGTGCGTGTGTGCACGCACACATGCACGCTGGCATGCGCGCACGCACGCATGCACGCACGCACACACACACACACACACACCTTCAAGAATGGTCTATCCTACATCCTGAGTCTTTAGTTCATGCCCTCCCATCTCCTCCTCTGGATATCACCACAGAGGTTTTTCTGGCCCTGGGATAGTCCAACGTCATCCTTTGGAGGTGGGTGGAGATGGACATTTTCTTTGTCAAGGGCCATTTGGCTATTTACAATGTCATTCCCAGGCCATAAAAAATTACCAATATGGGCATATAGGCCATGGGCAGCCAATGAGAGCTAATGAGAAGCTTATGCATCTGTCTTGTTACGTATGAAATATTTCCAGGGCCCAGAAAGACATCCTCCACTCTGTACTCATCCTCTACTCAGGGGCTTTACAAACCTTCATCTGGGAACAAATTGGTCTGGATAACTTGTATCAAAGTGAACCTTCTGAAGATCTGAGTGCACTGGGGCTGAGACTCTCCAGCTCCATAGGTGCCAAGGCTGCTGGTCCCAGTGATACTTGGAAAAGCCAAGCTCTATCTCCCTCCTTCTGCTTCTGAAACCAGATCTCCTGCTCTCACTCTTGAGGAACCTCACAGTTTTACCTAGACAGCTCCCTCCTGTTCTGCCTCATATACCATATGTCCTGGCTACCAACAAGCTTCTCAAAATGCCATCCATTCTCATTACTTGCTGCCTCTGCTCATGATGTATACTCTGTATGGAATGCCTGACTGTGTCTTCTCTGTCTCTGTAAGTGCCACTCCTCTGGAGAGACTTCCAGTTTCCATGACAAAATTCTCCATGCTTTCTCCTATGTCCTTGTAACTCTATTTAACTATAGTAAGATATTCCCTGTATATACGTTTGTCCCTCTGGATTTAAGCTCCTTCTTGTCTGTTTCTGTACCCCAAGTCCTGACACTGGGTAGACATTCAACTGTGAATGCAAGGGATGGAGGAAGATGATGGGTGGTCTGTGAACGTGAAGTCTACCTCAGAGCCTACTTTCCGGGATTGTGTTCCTGATGATCACACTATCACCCACTGGTGGCAAGGTACTGAAATTGCTATCCAAACACTATCATTGAGCCACACCCATAGCCCACCAATCCAGGGTTTGGTTTTGTTTTTTTAAGGTCCGACATGCTGTTTTTAAAGTATGGATCAGCATCACAGCACTAGAAATCAAGATCATCAAAGGCTCTGCTAGTCATGATGATGTTTCAGCATTCCTCGGTTGCCCTCTGATTAAGTCTCTATATATGCTGTGAATTTACTTCAAGGCAATGAAGAAATGAAGGCTTCCTACCTTCTGGTTTCTCTCCCACCACTGTGAGCTCGGACTCCTGGCTTGGCTCACTGGTTCCATAGATGTTGACAGCACGAACACGGAATTTATACTCGAGGTCAGGCAGCAGATTCTGGACGTTAAAAGAGGTGCTGCGGCACGTAGCTAGTTCTTTCCATGTCTTGTCCTCTGAGTCCCAGATCTCCACATTGTAGGACTGGACGGCACTGCCCCCATCGTAGGAAGAACCGTACCAGGACAAGGTCAGGGAGGAGCTTCGGATATCAGAGGCGCAAGGTGTGCCAGCTGGGGGGTCTGGCTTATCTAGACATGGAGAAGCACAATATCATTAAAACCCGCAATAAGAAAGGACACCAACTGTTTTTATCCCTCCTTCTCTTTCTTTTCCTTCCTTCCTTCCTTCCTTCCTTCCTTCCTTCCTTCCTTCCTTCCTTCCTTCCTTCTTTCTTTCTTTCTGGAAAGGTTTCTGGGTATTGCATTCAGGGCCTCAAACATGCCAAACAAACATTGTACCACTGAGAAATATTCCCCCTACCTTCCCCATCCCGAGAACATTAACTATTTTGTCACAGGGAGAAACAACCTAGTGAATCCAAGCCCAGGTCTCAGTTCCTAGTTCTCATCTTTCATCCACACATCACAGGTGCAGCTATGCCCAAACTCTCCAGTTCAGAAAGCCCCATATATTACTACTTGCTTGAAAGAAACTCTGTTATTTGGCTCATCTTCCAGTCTACAAGTCATGACTTCCTGTAGTTGGCCTAAGTCATAAACATATTTTTCTGAGTAAACACATCTAGGAAGCTGCTCAGGAGGCGTGGACTATTTCCCATCAAAAATATGTTTTGAGAGAGAGTGGGGGGAAGTTCTTCAGGCCTGAGGCCAGTGACCTATGATACAATAGAAGTGTGCTCTCACTTTCTCTAGATTTTCGGAAATGCTTGTCCCTACCAAGGGGACAGATAACTTAGTGGTTGAGCTCTGAAGTTAGACAGATCCAGATTGAACACAGATCTGTTCCTGCTCAGTAGCTATTAATGCCATATGCCTAAGATTCCTTAAATGGACAATATAGGTAATAACAGCTCAGATGTTAGGAAGTAGTTGTCTTAACTATTCATTCATTAGTATCATTATTATTTTAGGATTTTATTTCTAACCTTCTAGTGCATAAAAATGTCACTCCTACTTCTTTGTTGTTTTGATTTTTTGTGCTGAGGATTGAAATCAGGGTCTCATGCTGCACATGCCAAGCTCATGCCTTAGCACTGAGCTGTACCCCTGGCCTTTACTCCCCTTTATCTTCATAGGACTTTTATGCAATGAGATAGAGAATTTCAAAAGCAAACCACAACAGCAAGTCATAGCCCTCACGAAGGCACAGAAAATGAAATGAGGACACAAATTAGAAGGTCCTCCTTTTGACTAGCTACCTTCCTGTTCAGATGACCTAGATGCAGATCAGTAACCAGATTTGACCAACTTCAGATCAAATTATGGCAACCAACACTTCAGTGAGGTCCTTAAGTTTTGCTGGTTTTCATTAGTTGCTTTTCTGGATAAAAATCCTGTTTTTCAGATCTAGCAGATGTTTAGATAGTTAGATATGTTAGTTACAGATAATCTTTCACCCTCTCCCCAACATAGTTTGAGTTTACAGAGCCTTACAAACTAGCAATTAAGCTCATGCTATACAGATGTGTAAATATGTGAACTGTAGTAAATTTGAGACTAGTTAGGTCTGTCTTTCTCATCTGCAAAATGGTGCTGATTTGTACCTCTCCTTGGGGTTTGGCAAACAACAAGTAAGCAGACATAGACAGGTAAAGTGCTAGACTCCTACTTTCCCATCCAGGCAGGCAGGAAAGCCAAAGGGAATTCTCTCAAATGATTCTGAGTCCATAGGGAAGGAGAGAAAAATCCGGATGTGAATATATCTAAATACATATATGAATACATATACACACATATACATATATGTATATATACATATATGTATATATGTGTGTATGTGTATACACATATATGTATATGTATTTATGTGTATATATATATATATACATATATATACATATTCATTTTTTTTTCTTGGTTGTGGGGCTTGAACTCTGGGCCTGGGCGCTGTCCCTGAGCTCTTCAGCTCAAGGTGAGTACTCTACCACTTGAGCCACAGTGCCACTTCTGGTTTTCTGGTGGTTTATTGGAGATAAGATTCTCACAGACTTTCCTGTCCGGGGTTGGCTTTGAAGCATGATCCTCAGATCTCAGCCTTCTGAGTAGCTAGGATTACAGGCGTGAGCCACCAGCATCTGGCATATATTTATTTTTACCCCTTCCCTCCCCAGCCTCTTCTACATTCCAGCTCAGAACACACTGCCCAGATCTATCTGTCTCCAACAATCCAACCCGCTCTGGGAATGATTCTGGGACCGTGTCAGAGCTACTTCCCAGCATCTCTGCCATGCTAGAGGCCTCCAGTGATGGAGCCATTTTCACTTATTGTTTAATATACTCTCTCAGGAAAACTGTTTGATTTGAAAGATATATTGTTCTTTTTAAAGAAACACTTCTGATGTTTGCAAAGATGTTTATTGCTGTAAAAACAGAAGCAAATGATTCAAATCCTCTCAAGATCAGCTAAGGAAGTAAAAAAAAGAAGCCTACAGAGAGATAAAAAATACTCCTTGCCCCCCAACCCCCATCTCAAATCTCTAGGAAGACTTGAGAGGACATGGTTAGAGTCCCCTTTGCTTTGGTTAAGAAAGGACAACTTGGAGAAATGAACATTGTAAAAGAAGTCTTGCTCCTGTTACAGTTGTCCCTAACTCACATTTAATAGTTCATCTGCAATGCAAGATGCAAAATTTGGGGAGGGTGCTTTAATTCCAAGTGTAATGTTACCACTTTTAAAGTATTTGGTGCCTAAAGGAGTTTTAGAAAGACCCAAGGGTCCTATGAGACTGGACTTCCCCTCCTTCCCACCTTTTCTATGCTTTTTTTTTTTTTTTTTTTAGTATTTCCAGCCTCTGTGCTAAACTAGCCAGGAATGAGAACCCTCAGATCAGGGTGCTCCCATGAGCCTCCATGCTAAAGACAGACAGTCTGGGAGGGAAGGACACCCTGGGCAGTGCCTGGCAGAGAAGAAATTGGCTCAGTGTCAGGAGCTGGACCCCATACTTCCTCAGAATTCTCCCAGGGCTCCCTGGAGATGCGACTGACAGAATGGGAAACCCTTCAGGGTCCCTCATGACACCAGCTCAGGATTTTGTGTTTAGCAATGCTCTTATTCCTGGGAATCCAAGGTTTTTATCTGCTTCCCATTTTAACACAGCCACCCCTTGCCCTCATGCGTATTAGGCTTCTTTGGCGCTTGCATAAGCCAGCCTAGACATCCTTCCACAGGTGCTAAACTCAACAGTTGCTGGCTGGACCTTCAGTGGTCAGCTACCTGGATCAGTTGTGACCTCAGAAAAGGACTCTAAGAGGCAAGAAAACTTAGCAAATCAGTGACAGAGCCTCTAAGGGATCCCAAGCTGCAGATCCAACCCTAGGGCTTGGTACTTTCCAGGCAATCATGTCAAAAGATCAAGAGAACATCTTTTTAGCAGCCATGCCAAGCACGAGGAAAGAAAATCTGTCCTTACAAATCATGCAGCTCCAAACTTGGAGGTTATTTGGGGATTACTGGGCATTTGGGGTTCTCTCTACTTTGTTTTTCTCCCTTAAAGCTATGCAGAGACCTGCTTTTTCTCCTGCTTGGGAGAGTAATGTTAAGGAATCTATCTGGATCTGCCTCTTCTCCTCTCTCCCTCCTCTCCTGGGCAGCTGACCAGAAGCTCAAGCTTGGAAAGAGACAGCACTGAAGATTCCTATACTGCCTCTTAAAATATAACAATAATAATTAGCCTCTAAAACAGCTGAACATCTCTCGTGTTAACTGAGAAAAGTGCTAGTTTTTTATCATTGTCTAAAAAAAAAAAAAGGAATCACAGATGATCGGGAAAGAAATCTTCACAGAATATGCCATAAGAGAGTTTTACTGCAAAAGTAGATAAGCTGGCCTTCTTTAGTTGGTCAGTAAATGGATGTTTCTAAAGTGTTTGAAAGTCGTTCAGGGTAGACCAGGGCATACCTGTTTTTCTCTCATTTACTTAATAACCCTTTCTCAGGTAATAAACAGATGTCTCTGGACTTCACACAGGTGAATCAGCTAACTCAGGTTTACTTTGGACTGAGTCTGAATTCATGGACTCTGAATGAATGTGGCTTTACTGCAGCCATCAATGTGAGTCCTCATTTTATTGAGTGATTCTATTCTTAGCTCTATTGGGGGGGGAGCAGACAGAAAGCCCCACGCTCCATTCCATTCCCCTCCCAGGACGGTATTTAACATGCCGCTCCTGCCAGCTGGCAGGCAGCCACTGCGATGGCCCTGTCAGCTCTGGCCGTGGAGAATAAGAAACTCAACCATAAAAGGCCAGAACTCCAGTCTGTGCTGTGGGGCTGGGGGAAGGGAGTGTGGCACCACACAAGGGTAGTTGGGGGTCTGGGGTAGTGGTTCCAGAAAAGCAGTTCAAAGTTGCTGAGGCCAGAGTTATCCAAGCAAGGATAGATGAGAGAAAACACCAAGGAAAAGTGGAAACGGATGCTTACTGATAAGATGGGGTATACGGGCTAAGCCAATACTGTCAGGTATGGGTTTAAACACATAGCAAGCTACATCACTGGCCTCATCCCCTAATGGCTCCTGACTCTTTTGAGGGGGCAGTTATGGAAATGATCACCTGGAGTCACCAAATAAGAGTTTCTTTATGAATATTAAACCTGGGATCATAGGAGAACCCACCCGAGCCATCATTTACTTGCCAAACCCACCCTGAAGATTCTAATTCCTTTGGTGGTCCAATACGACATGTGGCTACTGAGATTTTAATCAAGTAGAAACCATTCAAGTGTCCAGAACTGATGAATGGATAAAACCTGACCTTCCAAGAACCCAAACTCCTGACTTAAGGACACAAAGTGGTCAGAGAAAGAGAAGAAGGAAGGGAAATGAGTTAAAATGAGGGATATTGAAAAGTAGATGAAACAGCACAAGTAGAGACATGAGCAAGGAGAAGGGGAGCACTATAGGAAGACAAATGCCTGTGCATTTGGAAAGATAGCAACTTCTGTGGGTTGCTGGAAGGAACAGAAGGAAAAGGAGAGGTTAAGAATAAGAGGATAATTGAGACCTAAGAGCTGGGGATCCAGAGCCTAGGAGAAGGGAGAGGCCTTGCAAAGGACAAAGGTGGGCCATCCTCAGAGCCGACACAAGGGAGTAATGCAAGGACAGAGATCTAAAGCGTGGGGACAATCAGGTTGAGCCAAGTCTTGCTGATGACATATTTCTCAGAGAAGCTGTAGCTAAGACCTGCAGGATGGGGATATTGAAAAACAGCATTGATCAGAGACAAAAGCAGATTTCTGAGCAGTACTATGTCTCAGCTGAGCCTAGGGGTCAGCACAGCCTAGCTCTGAGTTTGTGGGAGAATATGATCTTGCTGCAGTGCTCCCGAATGAGGCACAAGAGCAGGGAGGTCAAAAGGAAGCAATGATCCAGGTAGGGGTTGCAGGGGGAGTGGTATGGTAGTGGACATGATGGAGGAGTTTATGAAGTGCCTGGAATGCAAGGATCCAGGGTTTCCAAGGACCAGAAAGAGAGCCTGTGGAGCTGTTTGGAAAAGTAGCTGGTTTCCAGCCCATAACTTTGTAGCATTTCACTAGAACTCAAAAAAGGTGGGTAGCCAGATGCTAGTGGTTCATGCCTGTAATCCTCACTACTCAGGAGGCTGAGATCAGAGGGTCACAGTTCAAAGCCAGCCTGGGCAGTGAAGTATGAGACTCTTATCGCGACGTGGGGCTGTGGTTCAAGTGGTAGAGCCCTAGCCTTGAGCAATAAAGAAGCTTAGGGACAGTGCCCAGGTCCTGAGTTCACATTCCAGTACCAACATACACATCCCCAAAAAACAAGAAGAAGTGGGGGAACTGAGGGTGGGCAGTTGGAGCAGGTTCTAGAGTCCAGTAGCAAGTGTAAGGACAGAAGTAATATGGGATTGAAGGACAGGGAAGGATGGGGGAGTTGGAGGCTGCAGGCAGCAAGAAAAGCGCTGAGATGCTGAGTTCTGGGGGTTCATACCTCCTGTCTTCCCCATCTCCCATCCTCCATGGTCCCCAGACTTACCCACTACAGTAAGATTGACCTGGGCCTGCCTGCTTCCCAGCTTATTCTCCACCAGCAAGGTGTAGCAGCCACAGTGTTCCTGGCGGGCAGCGAGGATGGTGAGCTTGCTGCCATTCTCACTGTTCTCCACTTTGATGTATTCACTCTCTTGGATCTGCAGAGGAAGCAGAAGTGAGTGCTAGAGACTCAGGCCAGGAAAAGGCCTCCTTCCCTGCTCCTACTAGGAGGTATATGTCTGGTCAAGTTTTGGGGGTCCCATTTTGTCTGACTTGGGGCTTACCCCTAAAGTCCCATCTCCTGAGCCAAGTCCCTTGAGAGGGTCCAGATCTGAAATGGACTTGATGCTCATCAGAACTTGATGTTCCTCTCATGTGGCTCAGGAGTCCCTCATCACCATTCTGGCCTGAGATCATAGGAGAACCCACCTGAGCCATCATTTATTTGCCAAACCCACCCTAAAGATCTAATTCCTTTGGTGGTCCAATGCAACAAGTGGCTACTGAGATTTTAATCAAGTAGAAACCACTCAAGTGTCTAGAACTGATGAATGGATAAACTAAATGTGGTATTCTTAGTCATCCTGGGAATATTCATCTATAAAAATGAATAGGGTGAACCTTGACACTAACTCACCTCCTCCCCCAAATTCCAGGCACAAAGATGATATATTTGCCTGAAATGTTCAGAATGGGTAGATCCATAGATCTGTCACTATTATGAACATTATTATTTGAGGTACTTGGGTTTGAACTTGAGGCTTGGTCTTTGCTAGTCAAGTGCTCTACCACTTGAGCCACATGGCCCCAACCTCCAAAATTGATTTAACTTTTAATTTTTCTGTGTGAAAGCCCTTAAGTCTGTGTTGATCCCATCAGTACGTGGTAAATTTAAGTTGTTATTGCAGACATCAGTGGGCTGGCCTGGAAGCTCACAGATCTGAATAGGATTCTGGGAAGATAGCATAATTAGAGGGGCCACATGTGTGTGGTTTTTTATTATACAAATTGTCTATTAAAATAGGGTGTACTGGGTAACTTGAAAGAAAATGTTAATAAGAACTCTGATTTGGGAGACAGGTGGGTGGTAGGGCACTCTTGTTTCTTTTTTATAATTTATTTTTCTGTGGAGGGTTAATGGTGATTGTACCCACAGCACAATCATGCAAGACAAGCCCCTCGACCACTGAACTATACCCTTTTAATCTTATTGTGACAGGATCTTGCTAAGCTGCCCAGGTTGTCCTTGAACTTGTGGTCCTCCTTGCTTTATTCTCCCGAGCACTGGTATTACAGGCACAAGCCCTTACATCTTATAGTCTCTCTCATTTCTAAAGTGATGTAGAGCAATGCTGTCTCATTCGCAGCAATTCTCATCCCTGTCAGTTCAGGGGCTGTGGGTTTTCTTTGAACCACCCCTTTCCTGTTACTGACCTGCTTTCGGAATTTCATCCAGGTACAGGTGATGGGCTGGGTACCAGCTACTTTCCCAAACAGCTCCACAGGCTCTCCTGCCCGTACCTTCTGGTCCTCAGGGAACTGGATGATTTGAGGAGGCATGACTGGGAGGAGATAGTATAGAAACGGAGTGAGGGGGAAGGGTGTCAGGCATTCTGATCTTTTTGCTGCCACTGTTCAGTGTTGGTCTGTTGGTTCTTCTTTTACCTTCTGAAACCTTCAGGGTAAGACTCGTGGTATTAACCCCTGATCTAGAACATTGAGCTTGAGAACCTGCTAGGAAGATTCACCTCTTTGTTTAGAAACTCATAGAAATGACCCACATAACTTACCATGACATATCTCTACCATGGTTGTGCAGGAGTTTGTGTCTCATTCTAGTGGTTTGAATCGATGTTCTAACATGCTTATTAATTTAATAGTGCCTTGCCTTCTAACCTTTGGATCACACTGCCTGATGGGCTTGGTGTGGTTTATGTCTTCAAATATCTCTCCATGGAAAACAGACAAGTACTGGAGGAACAGGGACTTGCAGAGCAGGGCACAGAAGCAGTGTAGACTGGCTCATCCCACCACAAGGAAAGAAGCTCGAGCAGAATCTTGCAGAAGGGACAGGAAAGCTGCCCACACTGGGTGACTGTGCTGTGGGCACACAAGTGGTATCAGAGAACAGATGCCATCATGGACAAGGGTGAAGCACAGGCTGGGCAGAGGTAGATTGAGGAGCAGGTGTGGCCTGACAGATTTGGAGCTTAATCTTGGGAAGGGTACCCTGACTACATACCCAGGGAATCAGCCAGTTGGTAAAGGAAAAACCCCTATGGCAGATAATTCTCTTGGCACCAGGTGGACTGTGACTAATTACCTGCCTTAGTAGGTGTCTTGGGGGTAGGTTTCTTTTTCACAGTAGCATCACCTGAAACAAAGAAATTTACAAGTTATGTTCTGCCAGTTGTCATCCCACAAAGACCCTGAGTCCTAGAAGGATGCTGTCTTGTCCACTGGACCTGCATTCAAGGAAAGCCCCCATCCAAGTGTTTTTCCAGGAGGTTCTTGTTACCCTTTCATGTGTACAACCTCATTCTGAATATCAATTCTTGGCAGGGGTGGGGAGGGTGGGGAGGGGGCAGAGGTGCTTTGCAGGAATTCCTGAAGCCTCTGATATGATAAAAACATCTCAAAAAATGCTTCAGTCCTCATAATTCTATTCAGATAATCCAAGGCTGGATGTAATGGCTCACATCTGTAATCTCAACTACACTGAAGATTGTGACTTGAGGCCAGCCTGGGCAAAAAGTTATTAATAACTCATTTCAACCAATAAAGCCAAGTGTGGTGATATGCATCTATTATCCTACTTATAATGGAGACATAAATAGGAAGATCATGGTCTAGGCCAGCTTGGGCAAAAAAAATGAGATCCTATTAAAACAAATAAAATAAAAAGGTCTGGGGACATGGCTCAAGTGATAGAACACCCAACTAGCACACAAAAGGCCTTGAGTTCAAACTCCTCTACTACCTCCCCCAAAAAGATAGAGCCAAGAAAACGAACACCACCACCAACACCAAAGATGAGAACCCCAAACTTACAACTCTCTCATCCTAACTTTCAGGAAACTCAGTGAGGAACTTAAGTCAGATAATGAACTAAATTTAGCCTTTGCTATAGATCTGAGGGTCTCAGGCTTCCTTTGAGTCATAGACTGTGGACCTGTGGCTTTCATTTAAAAAAATGTCTGTTGAAAGGATCAATGAATAAATGGATAAATGAGTGGTATCTTCCGAAAATGTCTTAAACCCCAGCACCAACAAAAAAGGAAAGAAAAATAGCTCAGATAGAGATGTTTCATAGCACAAATCCATTCATTTGAATAATTAACAGAATGATACATAATTTTAACTATTTTCATGGCTTGACTGCATATTTCTTTCAGGCCTTTGCTCAAAGGTCAACTCATTTATTTATTCAAATGAATAATATACAAACACCCACGCATGAATGTGTATGGTGGCATGTGTGTGTGTGTGTGTGTGTGTGTGTGTGTGTGTGTATAGTGTATGTTACTGCTTCAAACTAGAAGGTTTCTGGTGTTCCTTAGCTGGAGAATGGACAAGCTATGGTGCACTGATACCGTGTAGTACTTCTCATCAATTGAAAAATGAACTACCTCCATAGTTTCTCTTTAACTATGACAGGTCAGGTTCAAAAGACTATGTACTATATATAATTCTTATTGTTGTTGTTGGTGGTGGTAGTCCTGGGGCTTGAACTGGGCCTGGGTGCTGTTCCTGCATCCTTTTAAGGCTAGCACTCTACCACTTGAACCACTGCCCCACTTCTGGCTTTTTCTGAGTAGTTTATTGGAGATAAGAGTCTATTTGAACCGTGATCTTCAGATCTCAGCCCCCTGAACAGCTAGGATTACAAGTGAGAGCCACCAGTGCTTGGCTTGTATTATGTAATTCTATTTGTGCAATATGCTAGAAAATTCAAAACTACCAAGGACAGAGAACAGACTAACGGCTGCCAAAGGTGAAGGCGAGAAGAACTTGACCACCAAGGGATACAGGAAAATGTGTTGGTGATGATACCTATCTTTATCGTGATGTCCATTAAATGATTATAGGAGTTTGTCAAGACTCACAGAACCGTGCACTAAAGACAGTGCACAAGGAAATTATATCTTAATAAAAAAAAACATAGGGAAGCCACTCACTAATGAGATGATCTACATATAGGACACAGTCTCATTCCCAAGAATTCCTTACTTTTACCCTGATTCAATAAACACTCTCTGGCACTTATTGTTTATTTATTATCTGTCCTCCTCCCCTAAAGGGTAGGATTTTAAGAGCAGGGTTTTATTTTTGTTGCTATTTGCTGCTATATACTCAATATGCAGCAGGTCCCCAATAACTATTTGCTGAAAGAACAGATGGATTAATACTGCTAATGCCTCCACTACTGTGGGTTACAGAGGAGTGGCACTGTCGAACAACTTGGCTGTGGTTGCTCTGTAACCACAGGCAGGTTCGCTGACTTTGTGGATAATCCTGTGTGTGTTTCTACAGTGGGAGAGTGCTGTAACCCAGCAGACTCTCCCAGGAGGCTGCTGCAAGGAGGGGACCCTGAAAGAAGCCCCCTGACCACAGAGGTGATGATTACGGCAAGTGGCTCAGAAAGGGAGATGACTGTAACCTTGAGAACACACTTATTCATTGCCATTAGTGACCCCTCCATCTCCAAAAACTTACTGAAGGCCTACTGTGTGTCAGCAAAGTGCCAATCAGTACCTACTATGAACCTGGTTTTCTATAGAGGAGAAAATCAAACAAACGTAAGAACTCAGGGATTATCCTCAAGGCCCAAAATGTTGGAATGTCTGAAACAGGAAAGGTTTTTTTTTTGTTTTTTGTTTTTTTTTGGGGGGGGTCCAGTTGTGGGGCCTGAACTCTGGACCTGGGCGCTGCCCCTCAGCTCTTCAGCTCAAGGCTAGCACTCTACTACTTGAGCCACAGCGCCACTTCTGGCTTCTTTTCTTTTTGTTTATGTGGTGCTGAGGAATCGAACCCAGTGCCTCAGACATGCAAGGCAAGCACTCTACCACTGAGCCACCTTCCCAGCCCCCAGGAAAGGGTTTTATCTAGAGGACATTTTACAGGACAACTGACAACATTTGAATATGGTCAATAAATTAGATGATAGTATTATATCAGTGTTAATTTGCCATTCTGATAATTAAACTTTAGATTTATAGACAATTCCTTGCTTTTAGGAAAAATACACACTGAATGAAGTATATACTATGTATTGTAAAGGGTTTACAGATTCAATTTCAAACCACTCATAGAACAGAATGTATGTATATACATATATGCATGTGCACCTTTGTGTATGTATGTGGACAGATAGAAGGATAAAGGAATTAAGGCCGAGGATGTGGCTTGGTTTGATCTCCAATACTGAAAAAAAAAGTGGGAAAGAAAGTACATATGAAAAAGCAAGCAACAAAATTGAATCTGGATGAAGATATATAAAAATCATTTGTAAGCAAGGTGCTGGTGGTTCATACTTGTAATCTTAGCTACTCAGGAGGCTGAGATTGGAGAGTTATGGTTCCATGCCAGGCTATGAGATTTTATCTCCAAAAATAACCATATAAAGCCTGGCTGGAGGTATAGATCAAATGGTAGAGCACTAAGCAAGCAAGCAAAGCCTTGTTGGGGCTGTGAGGTTCCGAGTTCAAGCTCCAGCACAACCCCTGCAAAAAAAAGAAAGTTAAAAAAAGATATGTTACCTAGTCAACAAGATGCAGTTGTTCAAAAGCAGAAGACAATAACTCAAATGTAAAATTAGTTGTCTACCAAGTGAAAGGAAGGCCTGAGTTCAAACTCTAGTGCTACCACCAAAATAGCTAACTAAAATAAAAGTAGGAAACAGAACCTTCAAATTAAGGACATGGTTGGAAGGCCCAGGAGTGAGCATGGAAAGAACCTGAGGCCTTAAAAGTTGACCTGGAGATGGGAGAGAAGCCCATGTGAGCAGCAGACAGGGCAGTGTTAAGAGCAGGGTGGTGCTAGGTAGAGGCTGGCATCAGAAAGCAATAACATGAAGACAGTGTGACCGTTTAAGGAAAATTAAGTATTCTGTCCCTCTGTCACATTTTAAGTGCTCAGTTTTCACACGTGATTAGCAACCACCAGGTACAGACATACCTTTTCCATCATTACCGAAAGTTCTCCTGGGTAACACTGGTTTCTAATGTAGAGATTACAGCTAGGCCTTTTGTTTTAAGGGAACAAGGAGTCCTAAGACAAAGAGTTATCAGACTGGGCCCAAGGCTCTTCAGTTTTCCCCAACTGCTTGGGGACAATTGGGCTACTGTCAGATCTACTTAGTCATTGGTCAAGGTCCACTCAGGAGAGATGATGCAACATTAAAGAAACATTAAAGGAATTTAGGGAGGAAAACAAGAGGGAAAAAAACAAAAGTTACTTTGCGAGTTCTTGCTTAGATACATGGGAAGTTGTATTGAAGGAATATGTAGTAAGAAGGGTCAGAGTTCTAGGTGGAGACTGAAAAGATTGCAGAAGTTAGTGGCAAGTTGGGAGGCTAGGTCAGTGCTTTGGGGAAAAGAATTCAGTGATAGATGAGAAGGAACCAGGGCCAATTCTCCTGAAACCCAGGAAAGGAGCCAGAGGAAGGACAAGGCTGTGGAAGGCCTTGATAGTATTGAAAATGTCACTGTGAGCAAAGGGGGCAGGATAGATGTTGGAAAGGGCTCCAGGTATGGCCAGCACAGAGGTAAAGGGTGGTGCTATGGAGGCCAGGTTCAGAGGATGGTGGGTCAAAAGTGACTCTAGGGATATAGGTGGGGTGGGGGGAGGGGAGGTAAAGGGACTTCTTGGTCAAGAATTATGGACCAAGAGAAATACGGTGAGGAAATATGAAGCTAAGGTTCCTCCTGAGGTGAGAGGTAGATGGCCAGGACTTCCTGAGAGGGAGGGAGAACCTAAAGATGCTAAAGGTATAGAATGCAGGAAAGCTAGACATTGATTTAGATGGCAGGCTGAGCTGCAAAGCCCCAAACCAGCCCTCACCCAGGACTGCTGATAAGGGAGTGGGCATTAAGAGAGAGGTCTTCAAGGAAGAAGACCAGAAAAGCTGTGGAAAGGACTGTTAGTATGAGCTGAATAGTGTCCTCTCAAATTCATGTGCTAGATCCCTAATTCCCAGTTCCTCAGAATGTGACTGCATTTGACAGGACCATTATTATTATTATTATTAATTATCACTTACATTATACAGAGAATTTTATTGCTACATTTCTGCATGTATTTATAATATATTCCAAACAATCTGACCATTTTATCACTGCTTCTCTAAACTTTCCCTCTTCTAAAAACAATTTC